GACGAGACGCGGGGGAAAAAAGTAGGGCTCGTCACCAGCTGGGTCAGCCCTTGAGTAAGAGCGAACGCTTCGACTGCACGACCTGCTGCATCGGTCTTATTTGAGCCCAACCAAAGCTCATTATGGGTATTGAAATCACCGAGAAGAACTACCTCTGAAGCGGGGTGATTGATGTTCAGGAAGTCGATCTGGACGGCGAGGTATTCGAGTAGGTCATCCCAGTTATGGTTCGAGGGAGAGCGATAAAGGCAGCAAATAAATTTGGGTGATGTTTTGGAGTTGAGGCGAAGCCACAGAATGTCCTTCCGGTCTGATTCCAAAGAAAGATCCCTGGAGCAGGAAAGACTGCTGCGGACAAAAGCCACAACTCCCCCGTTCTTTCTCAGATTGGAGTGCAGCTCGTAGTTTGGGAAGTTGAGATGGTTAATCGGTGCAGCCTCTGAGATTTTTGTCTCCGCCAAGAAAAGCACGGCGGGACGATTGGATTGCAGGTAGTGATGAACAGCATCAATGTTACTGTTGATCCCGCAGATGTTCGAAAAACAAATTTTATCTTCGATGTTGTTCCCTCGAGCCCACCCTCCACCCGGACATTCCGAGAGTGGAGTGACTTTACGTCCGGAGTTTTTAGTGCTCGAGGGATCCATCATCATTAATTTCTTTGTTTTGGTAGATAACCGACTGCATAGCTTAGGTGTGGAAACATGCGGACATTTATAAGACACCCTGGAAAAAGCTAGCGGGTGGTACTGCCTCGGTCGACTGGTCCTTGTCTACCACCTTCTTTTTACGTATTAGTGATGTTAAATAGACCTAAAGTGGCCCGTTGGCGGACTTGTACCGCCACCCGGCAATCGGTACTGAGGTATTCCTTAACGCGTGCGCAATCACTTGGACGGGAAGAAGTTGTATACTGGATACAACGACTTCCGGAACAAGCATTTGCCACGGCCCTCGCTCAGTAGGGGGGAAAATGTTATGTTCTGCAAATATCCTTCAGAGCTGAGCCTTTTAGTTAGATCAGAAGTAATCTCTGAGCTGATTATATATAAATGCAACACAATTCCATGATTTCGCATCATTTATTTAAACGATGGCTGCTATAAAGTCACCAAAATATTTTTCATTTATCAGTAATAAAGAACCTCCTCCTATGCTATTTGCTCTAGCGGTAAAGTTACATACAAAATAGACATTAATATTAAAATACCCAATTTCATCACATTAAAGTCAATTTTCAGTTAATAATATTTTTATCTGCCAAAAATACTTCTGGCGCATCAACACTATCCTAACAGACCTAACATTGCAATGCAATATACACAATTCGTCAATATTTCTAGGGTTAGGGTTAGTGGGGCTAATAATCAACAGACGCAGACATGTCTAACAAAGCTTTAAAGATTTAAAGTACACAAGTGTCTTGATGCATATAATTATGTTACGATCTTCAGTGTAATGCTACTTTTTGTTTTATAACATTAACATATAAATGAAAAGTGTACGTAGTGATTTCAGTAGAATGAACTAAATCATGGAATATGTAGCTCAACACGCATAAGTTATGCATAACTGATACTTTCATTGAAAAGTATACGTATGTTATTAATCTATTATGAATTGTGCAATACAGCTATCACGCACATATTTTAGTATTCAGTAAAATTAGATAGCAAAGTGAATGTTAGATATTGTACGATAAAAAAACGAAACTGTGACAGCGGTCGGATGTCGAAATGACCGCCCTAATATTATTCTTAATTACGAGTATTGGATATTTCATTAGAATGCTTTAAATTTAATTTGGTTCGTAAACGTATAGCAACCAGTGCTTACTTAAAAGTTTCGGACCAGTTCAATCGTTTCATCATTTCAGTAACGGATTCTACTGTACCTATGTTGACAGATGTAAGATTGACCTTCTGATATTTTCAAGGTCTATCTGGAAATTTCTATTTTTTTAATAACTAAGGTATGGCAATGTCAATGTACGACATGTTATACATAGGGTATAATAGGCATTCGTGGTAGTTGGGGTATATATAGTCAACGCCAAACAAAGTGGCGTGCACGTCATCAAGGTGGGTGTGTTGAAAAATTTACATTGTTGCCAAACTTTTTGTAAAATAATAAAATTTATTATTTACATATCTAGGTTTATAAGCAATATTAACCTCAAATCTTCATCACTGTCAAAGTTGATTATTAAAGGTTCGATGTCTGGTCGATCAAAAATTCGTTCTCTTTCATACCATTTAAAAATTTCTTGCTCAGTATGTCGAACACTATTTTTCCACATGTCTGGGGTAACCGTTTGTAGAGCCTCGTTCCACATATCCAAACAGTCTTTTTCACTGTTACCATCTCTACCAATATGTCTGTTATAGTAACCTTTTGCTATGCCCCAAATTAACTCAATAGGGTTAAATATACAATGGTAAGGAGGCAGACGAAGAACTTTGTGCCCATGTTGTTCCGCCAATTCATCAATCACGTATATTTTAGGTGGTTTGTTTCTAAAAAAGCAGTTATTTTAAGAATAGGAATAAACAAAAGAAATATAAACTGTCGACCAAAATATATATAATTAAGAAGCATTATGTACCGAGCAACAATACTCAATAGCTCTGTTTTAAACATTGTGTTTAAAAATGGTATGTTTTGATTTGTCAACCAGTCTTGGATATTTTTTTTTGTCCATGCATTGTTGGGCACTTTGTTCAATATCATGCTGTGATAAGGGGCGTTATCCAGTATAATCATAGATGGACTCTCCAATTTTTCTAATAACTGATGTTGAAACCATTTCAAAAAATTGTCCTGGTTCATCTCTCCATGGTAATCGCTCAATTTTGTTTTCGAAGAAAATATCGCTTCACTACCCTCAATAAACCCATTTTCATTTCCAGCATGTAATATAATGTATCTAAAATATATTAGTTTTAAATTTTATAGTGCAAATTGTGTAAAAGTACATACCTTTTACCATCTGTTTTAATAGCTTTCACGCTTTTTTGGTTTCCATTTTGCCAAGAGCGACCTATGGTCCCATTTTAAAATATCCAAGTTTCATCGAGGAAGACAAACTGGTATAATGCCTCAACCTTGGCTTGATCGTATTGCCTTAGAAATTCCACCCTTTTCAAAGCTATACTTGGTAGTTCCATGAGCCCTCGTCGCGGATTGTCCTTAAGCCACTTAAATCCAAGATCTCTAAGCAACCGCCTTAAAGACGTGGCACTACCATCAAATAATAGTAGTACCCTACCTCTTGAACAGCATTTAAAGGCAACAAAGGCCCGTTGTTGTCCCTTTCTTGCTCAAAGTAGTGCATTAACGAGGCCACGAGTTCCTTACACCGACTATTTAACTGTTTGGGCATCTTTATATACCAAAATTGCCTTTATCTACTCGTAAAATGAATAATTTTGTTTTGAAACAAACAGTTGTTGATTTACAGTATGCGGGGCCAAAGGATTTATAAAGATTTGAAATGCCACAAATTGATTCAGTGTCAAAATTAATACAAATGTCAGTTCCCAGTTTAAATAAGTTTCAAGGTGACAATGTGTCAACGCTGCGAAATCGGTTTAGTGCGTTTACATGTCGATAAGTGATTGGAGCGTTTGCAAAACATTTTATTTCGCATAATGCGTCTAAATTTATCAGAAAGCAACTTATGTGATATTTTAATAACAATGTTTATATGACTATTAACCATAATAAGAGAATAATGACCATTTTACAATTTATATATCGCATTAATATGAAACTGCAATAGAGCAATTGTTTGTGATAGAAACCTAGGCATTAGGTCGGGGAATTTTTATCGTGATGACGTGCACGCCACTTTGTTTGGCGTTGACTATATATAAAAAAAGACGAAGCACAGCTTTAATGCAGACCCACTCAATGACCAGTTTCTCGTTTATTAGAGAAAAATAGAGATTGAGACATGGCTCATTCAATCTAACATTTCAAACTTCTCTTGTGGAGTTCATGTCGATAATCCCCCATTTTTTCTGGTCAATCAGAGCACATGCGTGCCTTTATTGTACACGTTTCGGTCCAAACCCAAAAAAGTCAATTGTACTGAAGACGGTCTCCGTTGAGACCGAAAAGTATACAGGGTGTTCGAAAAATATTCGGAGATATTTTAGAGGATGATTCCTTGTTAAAATATGAAAAAGTTTTTATAAACATGGGACCGGAAAGTTTTCAAGATACAGGGTAATACATTTTAAAAAAAATATTAATATCTTAAACAATATTTACTCGATTCTGTTTGAATTTGGCAATATTATTTGTTGTATGAAGAGGTTGATTCAACCCTGAATAGACTGAAATTGAATTAACTTAACTTACAGTAGTATGTGAGGATGTTGCTAATTGTTGTATACGTTCAGGATGAGGGAAACACCCAGTTACCACCATGTTAATTTAAATTCATTTTACACTATTGTTGCTATTGTTATCAATGTAATTGCAGCTCCTGATGATGATGGCAAAGTTCATTGAAAGCTAGAGAGAATAAAAAAAGTATAAAGAGTCCTCTTTGCTTAAAATTTTTGTCGAAGTAGCCAACAAAAGGCGGAAGCTTTAATTTTTCACCTATATATATCTACTATCTGTATCTACTCTTGTAGCTGCATATGTGCATTAATTTCGGGCCTGATGAAGCCAACCAGCAGAAATACGTATCGCTCAGGTTACATATCCTATTTTCTGCTCGAATCCACTTTCCTACTTTTTGCGGATTTTGCCTATTATTTTTATACTTTCTGATATATATATCTCGTTTTCTTAAGCCAAATACTATATATTTATTCTATGAAATTAGATATGAGATTAGATTAGATATTGTTTGTGTTAAGCATGTTCGTATTTAACCTTTTTTCGTAGAGGGCTTAACTTATGTCGAACATAATGTTTGTGTTATAGAATGATGACAGATTGCGTGGGTAGTGGAGAGTCAACCTAATTGATGCCATGTTTTTCAGCTGGCGTGAAACCTGAGAAATTGGAAACATTGGATGAAGGTAAGCCTGAGTTTACCACAAAATCCGTCGGCGATCCAGACGTCAATCATCAACAGTACCCGAGCTACGGACCTAAACCAGGTCACAAATTCTTTTTCGTCCTGAACGGCCAAACTCTGTTGCCTCACTCGGCCTTTGAAAAGTACAATGGCTACTCTTTAGCAGATGAGCAACACGGAAGTCCGAACAAGGAGGAGTTGCATAGCAATATTCCCGAGGAGTACAGAGATATTCCGCAGAAAGACGAACAGCATCATGAGTATGTATATAAACACACTAATAACATTATCATTATTTATTGGTACAAAAGAGATTGTTCCAATATTTTTGAATAGTTTGCTGGTTAAGTTCATTCCAGGCCATATGTAAATCTAAAACAGCTTCTCGTAATGTTACTTTTTTTAAAGCCTCAGATAAGTTTTCAGGATTCTTTGATAAGACAGACGAAAGTAGAAACTTTCTATAGTATAGTTTGGTGAGTCTTATTATATTCTCGTTGAATTAACGGTGTTACGAAAATTGACCCATCCCTGCTCCTCAGTTGTTGCTTGGGAGGATGACTTGGTGCATTATCCAATAGTAACAACGCTTTTATTGGAAGCTTCTGTTGTTCCAGGAAACATTTTACCTACAAATTGAAAACACATCTTCAAATTATGAATAGAGCATTTGTGATAATTGATTGTCATACCTGAGGGACAAAGCACCTGTGGAACCATTTCAGGAATATACTGCTAGTCATCCAAGCGGTTATTGAACAGTCATAATCAACAGGGATATTAACATTTTTAAATGAGCGCGGATTTTTTGCTTTCCCAATTACCAGTGGCTTTATTTTGTGTGAACCATTAGCATTAGTGCAGGCTAGAAACGTTATTCGTTGTTTCTCCGGCTTTCTTCCCGGGGCAGATTTTTCAAATGATGTAGCATAGGTTTTCTCTGGTAACATTTTCCAATAAAGGCCACTTTCATCTGCGTTGTAAATTTGTTCCATTCTTAAATCTAGCTCGGTAATTGTTTTCATCAATTTTTCTTTGAATGGGTGCACTAATTGTGGTTGTGCTGATAATTTTTCACCAGATATAGTCAGCAGTCGAATTCCGTATCTTGTTTTGAATCGTTGTAGCCAGCCATCACTAGCTACGAAATTTTCAGTTTCTTTCAGTTTTTCAGTTAACAGTCTCACTCTCTGTTTAAGTACTTCGCCACTAACTGGGACATGATTTTCCCGTTGTTTTAAAAACCACTTATACAGGGAATTTTCCATTTTAGGTGCCTTCGCATTTTTTTAAGTTTTTCTTTTTCCCGGACCTCCAAATGTATTGCACGTTCTTTGTCAAATTTGAGTTTTCATACGCTTAATTTTACAGATTGTTGCTTTCGATACTCCATATTTTTTTGCTAACTGTGTCACTCCCGCACCTAGTGCAACTTCGTCTATGATTTTCACTTTCTCACTCAACTTTAAACACTTTCTTTTATAGGATGTGGATGCCATAGTCGTAAAATATATTAACGCGTGCAATGTATTCACTTAAGTTCAAAAATGAAATACACACGTACGTATAAACGTATCCTAAACGATCATACGACTGACCGAGTTTGTCGTATTTTATCGCAGAGGTGAATCCCCTACACTCTACATCATAAATCGGGAACTCCCCGACGCTCGACATAAATCATCGAGGCTTCAGCATTTTACCGTCGCGCTGTTTCCGTGCGCCGAGAGTTGTTTACGTTATCGAGCGTACACATTGTTTACGTTATCGCGCGTTCCGTTTGATCCTATAGAACGAAGTTTGTGTTTACATTAGCGCAAGTTTTCATTATCCCGTGTTTACGTTATCGAGCGTCTGCTGTATATAAATATATTTTAAATTTGATTCCCTTTGTATATATGGTGCTGACTGACTAGAACGTTCGTGCCCGAGGCTATAATACCAGTGGCGTAGAATTTGGGAAACGTTTATCCCACCAGAGGAAACAAGCATATTTTCTAAGCCATTGATTTTTTTGTAACATTTATTGCATTTGTGAAGGAGGTATTAAATATATGAATTGCCTTTCTTGGAAAGAGAAGACTCTATACCGAATGTTTCAAATGCGATCCTCACCATTGGGATTTCGGAAAAGGTACGAGATATGAATACGCTTAAACGGGGACAAAGTTGCGTATTTAGGTAACTAACAAAACTTCCGGAGAGAGATTGAAAAAACCGAATTCTCCAAAAATCGTTTTAATTTTTTCTTGACTTTATTTGTAGTAGGATTTCAAAAAAATGGGACATTACCATTGCCAGTTTTCCTCCTCTACAAGATGGCATAATTAGAATTTCAACATGACGTTTCATCTCTTGTTCTCCAGCATCAATTTTATTTTTTCTTAAGGACGCCATATTGTTCATAGTATATACATATAGTATATAGTATAGTTTATTAAAAAACAGAATTTTCTAGGTAGGCATTGAAATTATCAAATAGTCATTTGTTACATATAGCAGACTTAGCACCAAATCATTTTTCTTCTTAATTTATTTAAGATGGGATTTAAAAAAAAATGGCATATTGTTATTGCCACTTTTTCTCCTCTATAAGATGGCGAAGTCAAATTTAAAATTTAAGGATTCTTCTTTCGACTTCCATCACCAACTTTGGTTGGTATCACTCCGCTGATTTCTGTACCTGTTAGACAGACTCTTCAAGCTGCTAATTTCTACTCTATCATAGGATAACGTGCAACTCCCCTTGATTTCAGTTTTATAATTTCTATACTTCAAGTTTAAGTTTGAGTTTGAGTCTCACCTTCAACGTTATTCCAAGGTCACTTTTGTTCTTTTAATGGACATTTTTGCTTTTAACACCGACAACCGAACGAACCTAAAAATGAAAGATCAAGGTCATCTCTGAAGGTCAATCCCTCGGTTAAAAAGACTATTAATGAAAAAATCAAAAAAGGTCAGACTTTTAGTAACTTGACGATTTCAATATTGACTGCGAATTTGACATTAAGCCTCATCTTCAAGGTCATAACAATACATGATAAGAACTAAAACTTTTCAGCGTTAGTGTCAAAGAGAAACAAAATAAACAAAAAACTTGACCTTAGAAAGACTTTGAAGATGAGGTTCTGGGCTGAATTCAATATCACCAATGAAATCCTTGTTAAAAGTTGCTGAAGAAGAAAACTCTCTTCATCCATGATCTACACTTCACGAAATTTTTCCTAGCCTTGTTCATTTGATCTTCATTTGACGTTTAAAGGTAACTTTGATCGTAGATTTTAATAAATATTCGATGTAGAATGTTCCATTATTTCGATTGCTGACGTCAAAAATGAGCTTTCCATTGAAAAAAAAAGCTGTCCTTGAAATAACCTTGACAGTGAGGCTAAATATCACGTGCAAGGTCACCATGTTCCTTGTTCGAAGCTACCTTAGCTATCTTAAGAAATACCTTACCTGAAAAAATACAGAACTGTTCCATTACCTGCGTTACACCAGCAGAGTTATTACGTGAAAAAACTATGTAAATGTCAGAAAAACAGATAAAACGTCAACTTGATGACAAGATAGCTGATAGTGTACTAATAGTTCATTCCGCGCCTGCTACAAGTGAGCGTGAAGTGAACGACAGCTAGTTCCAAGCTGACTTCTTGTAGGAAAACCTACATAATGTCATAAAAAACCTTAATAATGTCAAAAAATATTCCTGTCTTTACTCACAACTGCTCCAAAACTAAGCAGCACATCATACTAATTACATTGACCTCAATTCTTCAGAGTACCTGCTCATCATGAGAAAGGAGAACTGCAAAACAACATCCCTCACGACTACGCCCAACATCACGAGAACGGCTTCAGAGACTCAAAGTACTATTCCGACGACCCTCAAAACTTCTTCGGAGCAGAGCACGGCCTATTCTTCAGAAACAGCGGCTCAGCTGATCAAGGACACCATCAACCTGAGCAGTTCAGGTATTCGCCGGTATATGGCGTCGATCATGATCAAGGTCAACACCAGTCAGAGCAGTTCAGATATTCGCCGCCCGAGGACATTGCAGGTCAAGGTCAAGGTAAAGGTCGTCAGGAATCTGGACAGTTTAGGTACTCTCCACCAAGCGATCCGTACCTTCCGTTTGGGGATGAGACTGAGAACGATTCTGTAGTTGTGGATGCCAACTTGGACGATAGGAATACGAGAGGGAGCGGTGAATCAAAGAAACAGGGTAAGTTTGAAGGTTATGCATATTTTTTAGAAAAACGTAAACGCGAACTTTATAAGTGCGCGAAGTATCATTCTGCCACTCGTGAAATGCCTTTGGCAAGCGACAAGAACTCCTGATGGCAAGAAAGTATTGTAATCGCGAAAATCTTCGAAAATGAGATATACTGTTTTTTGGATGATATATGACATGTACCTACGTGTACGAAAAACAATCTCAGTCATTTTAGTCGGTCTGTCGGTCTGTCCGCTAATCCTTGGCCCGTCTATAACTCTGAAAGTACCGCTTCGATTATAATGAAATTTCAGAAAAGGTGACTACTATTCTGCCGTGCTTAGCGATAACACCGCATCTACAAAAAATAAAGCATGGAGGAAAACATGTTTTTTCTTTTTTTAAGAGCCGTAAGAGAGTTCAAATACTTTCGCTGCCTTCTATTGTCATAACCCAGTATATTCAATTGAGAAAACATATTTTCACAAAAATGTAGAAAAAAAATGACTGGTTTTATTTTCAAGCCAGATACTGCATTTCTCTTAAGCAAGAAGTATAATGAAAGTCACATGTTGCTTGAGATTATTGCGGTACTGCGTTTTTGCTAAGTGTTTCTGCTAATTACTTTCCAATAATTTGTGACAGATAGAATTATACTCTCGATATATTTAAAAACAGACTTTTTGTTTTGATTCTCTTACAAACTAAAAACAAAAATACAAATATTCATAATGATATGCGCTAAATACCAAAGAACAACACTAATTGGAATCAGCTCTAGCAGGTATATTTCGCCAAAGATCTTTTCTGTTTTCAGGCATTATTGTATTCAACACTTTTAAAATGTTTTCCTTTTTTTCTGAATTAAAACCGCGAGGCTTATGTAACGGCTCCGGCAATTTCATACCATTGGGCTTGGTTGCTTTAAACTGTAGAAAATCTAAACAATTATTCGGCTCCCATTCCGAATGTGAGGTTTTGAAAAGAAGATAATATTGCCCTCTGCGAGCGGTAATCTGAACAATGTCTTTGAGATAAATTCGATTCATTTGTTTCTTTAATTTTTGTTGTGAAACGAAAGATTTGAAAGAATAGAAATCTGAAAAAGACATGTTTTTGATTTCTACTGCTCCCTTATTTGTTTGGGATACAGCATTAACAAAATCTGGAAAATCATACGTTTTTCCTTGTTTCTTTAAGGACAGCTCCTCTTGATGATAAAAATGGTCTGCTGACATATATGTACGCCCTGGTTCAAAATAATTAATGACAATTTCTTCAGCACTTATTTCACTTGAATTTATAATGAAAACAAGGAAACTTAATAAGCACCAATTTTTGTTTTAGCTTGAGCAGTTATCAAGCCTAACAGTGTTTTTTTCTAAGTCTCCTTGTTTTTTAAAAAATGCATAAAATGCACTTGTAACATCATCTTGGTCTCTTCCGCTTATACCTTCATGCCACAGTACTGCAAAAGGTTTTGCCAGACTCTTTTTCCCCAGTGGAACGAAGCTCTCATTATAAACTGAAAGCCTTTGGATAAATAAGACCCTTTTAAATGTCTCTAATCTTGGCAACATTATCACTTTCTTTAAGTTAGCAGAAAAATAGGAGTTACTTTTTTCATTATCATGCGCTTGTTGTCGGTACTTTTCTCGTGACTCTTTAGCCATATCAATGTGATATTTCCAAATCGTGCAGGTTTCACATCCAGGTTGAAGACTATCTTCATTATGCTCATAAAGCTTCATACTCACACAATTTCACATTCTTCATTGCCAAGTCTAGCAAAAGATATATTTTTCTTTTCAACCTGACATCTATATATATTATACGACACCTTAATATTAGGAAATGTTTCTAAAAAATCAGCATGCATGCTTCTGACAGTTATATCGCTGGGAAGATATCGAACATTTGGTGCATGTGCACGTCTGTAATGTGAACTAACTGGATTATAAGACTCAATATGTGCATCTAACTCATTTTTTGAATAAAGTTTGCTGAACGACTTTTCCCTCGTTGGTCTTCTAACGGTACTATGATTCCTTTTGGCGTTTTTGATAGAACTTCATAAATGAATCGATCATTCGTTGGGTTGTATCCGAGAATGGTCAAATAAAAGTGTTTACACACATGTTTTCTTACCCCAGGCTGTCTTTGAAGGTGTATTTGAAAACATTATGTCTAACATGTGATTCAGCATTATTTTCTGTTGTTCGACGCTTAATTTCCAAACGTTCGCAAGAGCTTAAAACAAATGATCTTCTTTCTGCATGAGATAGTTCCCAAAACTGGTTATGGATTTCACGTCTGTGATCCTCAGAAAAAAGTACTGAACATCTAATTTTACATTTTTCCTTATTACACGAAGGACCGACAGCGCTTTTATTAATTCGGCTTTTTTCTTTTTCCTGCTTAACAAACTCTCGGTGATTTTTTTCTTTTGCGTTTAGTTCCAGTTTTTGTAAGATTAGCATCCTTAGCAATCTAAAAATCATAAAAATTGAGTTTTTATGTCAAATAGAATGGTTTGTGTAGGTAACTCAGAAATACCAGCTGGAGCTTGGTATGTAGCACCCATGGCTAGATCCAAAATTAGTTTCGTTCTTTTGGACATAATAAAACAACCCTCAACAAAACACTGCAATCCGCACGGACCAAAACAAACAACTGACCACGTTTTTAATGCATCATCATAATAATTAATAACAGTCAAGACACGACTTGTACTTGGGAGGAACGCGGCAATTCACATGTACTTAGCAAAAACGCAGAATCTGACCGGAAGATGTTGCATTTATGCTAAATAATGTTAGATACGGAAGTTTTAATGAGCATGCAACCAAATTTTTGTTAGTTACTGCAAAATAGTTATGTTGTTTTATGGTTAAGGTGCTTCAAACGGCATTTTTGCTAAGTTCTATATATAGAAAACATGAATTCAAGCAAGAATATGTAAAAAACTCATTTTTCAATTTTTTTGTATATCGTCGGTGATACTGCAATATGTCGTATGTCGAAAAGAGGTAATTTTTCAGGAGAGAAAGAAAACTGTTTTTATCGACCAATTTTAAATTTGAAATTGCTATTTTTTGTCTACTATGTATTTTTCTATTAGGGTATTAGTACTTAACTCGATTTTTTTGTTCAATGGAATATTAAGCAAAATGCCGTTACATACGACATATTGCATTGAAAATGGAAATATTTATGTCACATACGACAATTTTGTAATCCATTATACATCTCACAAAAATAATTTTTAACAGTTCTATTCTTTTTATTTACGTAATGAAAAACTAAACAAAAAATTCTAAACAAATATGTAATCTTAAAATAAACAGGAAAGAATAAAATATATTAATTTTTGATATGTGAACAAACTTGGTCAGACTTGCAGCTGTGCTTTAAATTGTCATAAAATCCATGGTAATCTGATTCGATGACAGATTTCAATTCTTGAAGATGTATGAATTTTGTATCCTCAATTTGGCGAGGAGATAAATATAGAGGTTCGTGAGAGAAAGAAGTTCTAGTACGACATGGTCTACGTGGCAGTTCGAGCCATTCATCCGAAAAATTTATTTTGTATTTTATTAGTCCTTCAGGAAGATACTGCAATGCACAAATGTCTGTAACACAGTGATCACCTTTTTTGCTTCCAGGTCGAATTTGTGAATACATTCCTTTTTTGTATTGCAAAAAATCGTTGAAATGCAGAGACACTACTTTATAAGGGGATGGGTTTTGCCTGGCCGCTCTTATAATTTTATTATAATCGGCGGGAACAGCTATATCATTTCTTCTTCCCAGCTTTCTCTCTATTACACTATGGACTGAATCCACCTCCATCTGGGTATGTCCTACCTCCAGGTACTTTTGTTCAATAATAATATTTTTTTCCATGGCTATCTCCAGCAAACCATTTGACAAATTCACATTTCTGTTTTGGTAGGTACAACCGTCGCTCCATAGGATTATTACCTTCGGGCTCTGCCTTTCTATCTCTTCATTAAGAAACTTTACTAAAATGGAAACAAAAACATCGCTGTCTAAACCTCCATTTCCCTCGTGCCATAAATAACAAGACACATCTTTGTTATTAAGATTAAAAAATGTTTAGTTGTGAACCTTCAGTTTTTGTTTATAGTACATGGCGGAGGCTTGGGTAAAAGGACAAAGAAGAACAGCTTGTAAGTCCATAGTGTAGACATACTTTGAGTTTCCTGCCTCTGATGAGATAGCTTCTTGTTTGTCTTGCTCTTTTTCTGACCGTGCCTGTTCTTTCTTGGCAACGTGACTATCGTAATCTGCTTGACTTAAATTTCCCTTTTTAAACTTCACGCATGTGTTGCACTGGTCCTTACGAGGTGTATAAATTTCAAGATTTCTTGTCTTAAAAGTTTTATAGAAAAGTCTCCAAGAACAAGATCTTAGGTTTTGACGTTCACAATAGTTAATAAACTCACGATGCAAATGTCTGTAACTATTCCAAGTGGGTTCCAAATAAAGTTTCCTAGTGGATGCTCGACAGTAGTGCGATTCAACTTTAGGCAAGCTGTCTAAGAATTGATTAACATTTTTTGTGCATTCGGAATCCTGAGGTGGCTCTACTAAAGCCGGTTCAATACCTAGCTCCATATTTGGTAAACATTTGTTTAAAACCCATTCTCTTACACATCTTTCTCCAATACCTAAAGTGGCTAAAAACATTTTCTTGCATACGTGATATTTTTTGGTAGACTCTGGATTATCTTTAGTTATTAAATAATATTTAAACCCTGTATTCTTTCGAGACTCTTCTTCTGCAGTGTTTCGTCTTCTGTGTTTGGGCTGAGAGTGCAGTACAAGACTACTTACATAAATTTTTTTACCTTCCCAAGAACTAATTTCCCAAAAAGATTGAAATATTTGATTACGCATTTCATTTGTAATTTGCAAACATTCAAATTTTTGTTGTGGTCCCTTAGAGTCATTTTTGTGTCCCCCACATGACGGCTTTACTTTGCGCTGAACTCTACAGACTGTTTGCTGGTACTTGCCTCCAGTATTTTTCTGAAATCCCATGTATGCATGGCCTTTAAGTCTCGCTTGCGAATTTTTTGCTCGTTTCCATTGCGATGGATCTCTTTGCCCTTTACTCTTACGTTGTTTTGTTCTTCCATCCGGTGTCCGACGATCTTCTTGGTTTCCACCTCCTTGGTTTTCAACGTTTTCGTTTCCTAAACTATTTTCTGAGTCAGTATCTGTTGGCAGATACTCGCTGCCACTTTCCTGAAATGGATCAGGTTCTGAATGTCTTTCAGTATCTGAAGTTGCATCATGGACCTCTTCTTCATCTGCTACAACTTCTTCCTGATAGTCAATTATTGGTACAATACCACTATCAGAATCTGTGTTTTGTTCCAAATAATATAACTTTTCATCAGTTTTGGAATGCGATGTTTCTTTTGGGATTTCTGCCACTTCTAGGACTGTTAAAATTGGATTATCTACCAATTCTGCATTTCCTAATAGATCTTGAACTGACACTTGAACCATGCTCTCTGTTCTTTGAGGATCTGATGCATCGTTCAATTGGGTCGCAAAATTGTTAATGTTATCGTCTTTGGGCACTTGGTGAGAGGCTACTGCACTAGATGCTGAATTTCGAGCTAGTTCCACCAACAGTCGCGCTCTGTTTGACATTATGGATTCACTGAAAATAAAAAAAAACAAAGATGCAATATGTTGTATGTCAATACTTAACAAACAGAAATAATACTAAATAAAAGCTAAATTTGGAATGTAAAATATCGTATGTCACACAGTGTTCAAAAAAATCGATTAATTACTACAATAAATCATATCATTAAAGAGAAAAGGAATAAATAACCTACGTGAATTTTACTTGCCGTTTTGATATAATATATTTATTCAGAAAAAATTAAGGTTATACAAAATAATATTGTTGTTTTTTTTTTGTTAATTATGGTATTTCTTGACTAAAAACTACAAACACTATAACGTTTTTGTAGTTTAAATTAAGAAAATAACAACAAACTCACCATGTAAACTCAAAAAACTATCACAAAACTCACATTTAGTTGTTACTGACACGTTACTGCTTGCAGCTAACCTAAAATGTATAATAATTTAAGTTAGGGATGCGCGATACGATACGATCTTTTAAAGTATCGATACTTCTGCTTTCGATACCCGATCTTTTGTATCGATATTTTCATTGCGATACATCACTAATATCGATACTTTTGCTTGTATATCGGATCATACGATCCGCGGATTGAGAAAGTTGCGGCATCGGCAGCCGATGATTTAAGAAGAGCACAGCCAGACAATAACATTTTAAGATTAATACAATCTGTGCCAACTAGGTGGAATTCGACCTTTTACATGTTGGACAGATTTACTAACTTATATGAATATATAGCTCCAATTTTACTAAAAAACCCAAAGTCACCAGCCATGTTAGATGCATCTGAATTGGAAAAAATAAAAGAACTTTTAAATATTCTATCTTCTATCGAGGCAGTTTCAAAAGAAGTCAGCGGCGAGCAATATTTAACATCAAGTAAGATTATACCTATTGTTAACTGCCTTTTTAAAAATATTGGAAATTTATCCCCATCTTCTAAAGAAATATTAGCTTTCAAAACTACAACAATTAATGAACTTTCTAAAAGGTTTGGGGCTATAGAACAAAATAAATTATTAGCTGTGTCAACCTTATTAGACCCCCGTTTTAAAAAACTACATTTCAATAGTCCAGTGGCATGTGCTAATGCTGTTACTTTTATTAACCAGTCAATTCAACAATTACGTGAATTGCATAACCAAGACCAAATGAAAAATGCTCCAAACTCACAAAGTCAAAGTGCTCAACCGCCTCAACCTCAACTAAATAAATCTCAAAGCTTATGAGCTTACCATGAAGAATTAGCTGCCAAACATACTTTAACGCAGGTGGATACTAGGGACAGCCTTGACTATGATTTTAAAATATATTCAAACAGCCAAACACTACCAATATTGTCAGAGCCATTATCTTACTGGAGCACACACGCGTCACATATATTGAAAGAAATAGCTCATAAATATTTATCTATTGTGGGAACCTCAGTTCCACCAGAAAGGCTTTTTTCCAAAGCTGGAAATATTATTAGCCCAAACCGTAACAGGCTTAGTGGAGAAAGATTATCAGAGCTTTTATTTTGAAGTTCCTTAAATTTTGAAGACTGGAACGTATTATAGTTTTGTTTTTTTTTGTTATTTTTTATAGCAGTTGAAGAAAAACCTGTATTATGTTGGTTTATATATATTTATATTTATGTTGATTATAATATTTTAGTTTTTACATATCAACACTTGTTAGTTCAAGTTAAACATTGGAACTGTATTGTTTTATATTTTCTTTTATATATGTATTTTTTAATACGAGAATTATTTTTTATTTTTTTTTGTTATAAATGATTAAATCTGAAAATTATACAAACAAATATATTTGATTTTGGAACCCAAAATTTATTAATCAATCATATATTGTTTTAAATTCAAACACGATTCCTAATTTTTTTTGTAACGGATAAGATTACGACTTACAGAATAACCGTATCGAGGTATCGATACCTTAGGTATCGATTCTTTTACAGCGATATTTTCCTGTATCGATACAATTTCTCACGATACGGATCGATACCAAATATCGATACATTGAAGAATATCGCGCATCCCTAATTTAAGTGACATACGACGTATCGAAATATCCAATTGTGTAGCGTTACGACATAGACGGAGAGCATGATTCTGACATACGGCATATTGAAGTATCCAGTTTTGTCAAGAAAAACATACGACATATTTGTATGTGTAAACAATCAGGGTACCTGTTCAAATTTCATATACAACATTTTGCAGGGGCATAGAGGACTGTATTTTGGTTACAATGGATATATAAACAAAAAATTGCAATTTTTGTGACATACGACATATTGCAGTATCACCGACGATATACGGCGTTTCTGCTAAGCACGGCAGCATTATCATTTATCATTTTTGGAAGTTTCTTGGAGGGACGGAAAATTGGGTGTTGGGTACTAAGGAGGGGGGCTCGCAAAAATATTGCATCTTTGATATGAGATATCGTCCTCAATTCTACGTTCATCAACATTCCCGCAATGATGATCGAACGCTTAAGGTATTTATTTTGCCCTCGTCCCTCCTAATGAGATACCTACGTTTTGCTCTTTCCAGAATCTCATAGCGCCACTTCTCAAAAAGAAGATGCCGACCCCACAGGAGACCCCAGCACAGCGCAAGCTGCCCCTGGCGCAGTGGCAATCGCAGGCCCCGGCGGCGTAGCAGGGGCTTCCCCTAAAGCCACGGCTCTGGCAGGGAAAAGGGGCCTCGCAGTCTCGAGCCCACACGCAACGGCCGTTGCGGGTACCGAGGGTACTAAACATGGAAGGAGGAGAACCAAACCAAGCAAGAGTGATAACAAGTGAATGTGATATGAGTGATGGCGTAATGTGAGACTTGACAGATTATATTTATTTCGGATAGAGTTATGGTGTATATGTGGATCCATTTCATCAAGAATGTATGATTATGACGATTTATTAACGTACGCTACCTGAAGATATCCAAGCATATATGCTGTTGAGCGACATCCAAAAAGGGATTTGAAAGATCGTAGCGCCATCTATGAGACGAGAGCAGAAAAATAAACTTAAGAATGTATTTTGGAAGATTGTTTGATTCTGCTATCGCCTCATAGATGGCGCTAGGATCTTCAATCATTTTTCAACGCTTTTCTAATGTTTATTTTAATAGGGTATCTTCAGTTGGAATATGATCAATGACTTACCTGTGCTACCAAGGAGGTAAGAATTAGTACTGCTGTTAAACATTAAGTTATTACACATTTTTATGTAATTACTTAGTTAATCGCACCTCCATGAGATATTTTGTTACAATCGCGCATAATTGTTTCGTCTTTTATGCATAATTTGTACGTATTACATCTGCCAGTATAAAGTTGTCAATTACACAAATAAAACTCATGTAAATTTGTAAAGTTATCTGCACTAGTTATCATTAACAGCTACGTCAACTGATGTGTGGTTTATAGTTTGTATTAATGGATTTGTAATTCTGTTCGGTCATTCGTAGTGAAATAAATCTATTTTTACAACACCTATAACCTTTTTTAAGTCCTGCCTCATCCCTAGTCGACAAATGATCTTGCTTCAGTACGTAAAATATTTTGCAGAATTTGTGATATAAATTAATGATCCAATAATAAATGTATAAGAAAAACAACTACATTTACATAAAAATATTAACGTATTCTATCTGAAGATAGCCAACCACATTCTGGCGTCTAAAAACATGGTCCGAAGATACTAGCGCCATCTATGAGCCAGTAGCAGAACACAAAAGTGAGCTTAGACATCTACTTTCAAAGGTGTTAGTCTACTTGGTTCTGCTAGGGATAGATGGCGCTAGGATCTTCGATCCCTTTTGGCCCCTCCAATGCCTATTTCAATTGGGTAACGTCAAGCATTGATCAATGTATTACACATTCCTCTTAAACATATCCACATAGGCATTGTAGAGACCAAAAAGGATTGAGGCTCCTAGCGCCAGCTAGGCGACAGTAGCTGAACGAAGCATTCGCTTTTTGCAAAGTAGATTTCTAAAATGATTACGGTTTTTCTTCTGGCGTATAGATGGCGCTACCACAGTACACGTCGTTAGTAAATCGTAAAGCTCGTAAGTTACGAATATAATTCTACCCGTAAGCAAGCTTAGAAGATGTCGTGTATCATTACGTGTTAAGCTTGATGAAACAATTCTTTTTATACCTATGGTAGTGAGAGCGGGCAACGTTGTAATACATGACGTGTCATGTCATAATTGTCATTCTATAAATCTGAAATGTCATGTCACGTCATCCATGTTTTTGTAATACGAGAAGAAAGAAAGGCGGATATGTGAGGGAAGAAACTGCGTTTTGTATCTAAAACAATCATTTGGATATGATAACAGAGACTGATAACAGATACCGGGATTATTTCTTCCACAGTGATGCTGACAAAAAGAAGTAGGAAAAATGTATTTGAGTGCAGTGTGCATATTCCTTCTGGTTGCCATACCTGGGTAATACACTTTATAAAAATTGGTTTGAAAGCAACCCTATGGTTGGATAATTTTCAGGTACGGGAACCGTGTTGATAAACTGCGGAGCATTTCCAAATATCCGGATGCCAATTGTACAGATTTGAGGCAGAAGTTTGCCAATGCTTCAGCAAGATTCACCGTGTGCTCAATAGACCATTCCAGACCAATAACTTTTTGTGAAAGTTGTGTACAATCATATCTAGATGTAGTGGAAAGTTACCAAAATATGTCAAAGGTAAGGCAATCCAAAATTCATATCTGTATTATTAAAATGTTTGCTATAAAAAACTTAGTTTATAATAATCATATCACTTTAATTAGGTCACAATAAATAAGATTTTTACAATCAAATTGTGAATGTATTATAGAAGCAAAAAGACATATTGACTATATATGTCAGAAGTTAGGCAAAAAGATTGGGTATTTTCATAGAATTTGTGACAGTCTATGTCCTGGTGCAAAAGGGTAATCTACATACAATAATTTTCATCATTTCACTTATTGTACTTTACTTTTGATCACATGCATATAAGAGGAAAAGCAAAGGTTACAAATTATATTAAATAAAAGTATGTGAATTTTGTTAAATTGTAGCAATAGATATGCTATTTAATGCAATTGTTTAAACATACACCAAATCATCCAAGAGGCAAATTTAAATCTTTCATTTAAAACTATTGATGATCAGGCTCCACCTGATCTTGAACAGTTTTTTAAAAAAAGATTTGAAATGCAAGATTACAACATTAGATCAAAAGAAAATTACCATTACAAAGACTTATACCTAAATGTTTAGAAACTACTAACTGATGGTCTAAAAATGTACGATCTGCCTTTTAATGTAAAAACATCTAGTAATGCTATCAATTTTAAAAGGAGACTTTGGAGAGACTGTTTTGGTTTGACTTAAAGATCACTGTGAATTTAACACATTTTTTGTAAATAATATTTATTATTGTTTGACATAGTTTGAAGCTAAATAAATCTGTTTCTATTCTGTTTTAACATTTTTATAAAGCATTGTAATTAGATCTTAATAGCTTTTAAAAAAGACACTTCACCCCTTTTATTATTTTAATCTATTAGTATGTTTGAGATTTTTTAGATATGGCTATAACATTTTGAGGTTTCTTATGAGGGTATTATCAAAAATGCTTGTGCCTCTATGATCTTTTAGGTAAATTGGGCTTGTAGATTCAACCTTTATGCTTGGATTCTCAGGTAATAAATGACCTACTTGTATTTTTTTGAATCAGCATAATATCATCAGCACCCCGAATTACCTAACTGTAGAAAGAGTGTAACACTGAATCAAAAAATGGAAATTTTGTCCTGCCTATAATATTTTGAGGTTGTCCATGAGAGATTCCCAGAAATCTTTGTAAACCTATGATCTATATAAAGACATATTTTCCCATTGAGCACAAAGGCTCTGAATCCAATGTCACTTTCACATTAAGACTCAAATTTTGCCCTATTTTTGTGTTGTTTTGGTGGTCATAATCAAACTCAGTATGCTAAACTACCAAATCAAACCAAGTTTTATTGATTTATTAAAACATAAACAAAGATGAAAATTTTGACCTATAGTATCCTATAGGTAAATTATGGTTTAAATTGTTACATACTTTAAAAGAATATTATCGCATTGAAAAATAAATGACCTTATTTGTGATTTTTTTTGCAAATTATAGAAAATGTTTTTTTCTAGTTTGGTCATAACAACACAAGATGTATAGATAATTTTGTAAATAGAGATAGACTACAAATAGTGCAAAGTATATATGATGCCAATATAGATCTTTGGAAAAGAGCTAAATGCAATGGTAAGTCAGAATATAGAAATCGTATCTGTTTTTAGTTTCAATTAATCTTGTTAATCATGGTGTCTCATCCATGCAGGGGCAGAATGTTGCTTCAAAACATGGGATATTACACATGTTATCTGGGGGGAAATTTGGAAAATACCGTTGTACAGGGCTTCTCAATTACAACCAGCATATCAATGGTGATTTCTTTTTAAATGGAATCTCATCTCAAATACCCAATAGCTTAACAACTAATAAGCAACACCCATAGGTATGTTGAAACAAGACAGCACAAAGTGCCATCAAATTTCTTCTTCTAGAAGGGCCTATCTGATCTAAAATAAGGCATTCCTTTTAAAAAGATCAACTGCTAAACACATCAGTAGTTCTCTTTGAAAAGTTGCTGCGACCCCCAGTAAATCTGAAAATAGTTATGACAACAGAAATTTGATACTTCTAGTGATATTTACGAGTATTTATGAGTTGTAACAAGAACTTTTCTCAACACTATCATTTCTTGTAGAATGCTATGAAGATGAAAGTGAGTCAGTTGTATCTACATCAAATACAACAACCCAGTTTATAGTATACTACAACCATTTTATGAATTGTATTAACAAATCAAAAATTGAAGAACTTTGTTTACAATGTATGGGTGACTATATAACACTAGACAGTTATTATGCCAAAATCAGCAATATAAATGATAATATTGGGATGTGCATGGATATTGTAGATTTGGTAAGTAGTGAAAGACTGTCTTTAAGCTTATTTTATTATTTTTATTATCACATAAAATGAAAGTTCCCAATATGAAACTTCCAGTGATTCTTTTCTCTTCTCACGCCTATTGGCGAGGAAGTATTGTAATTGCAATAAGTTTTGAAAATCGGATATGTTGTTTCGACATTTTATGACATGTACAAATAACTGTCACTCATTTCCATCAGTCTGTCCATCTGTGCGCCTGCTAATCCTTGCCCCATCTATAACTTGGAAAGTACTGGTCCGAGTTTGATGAAATTTTTACACAAGGTTACTATTACGCCAAATACGAAAAAACTTAGTAATTCTCAAAAACCGTCCAGTGGCGACTGAGACAAAGGCCCAAAACGAAAGATAAAAATATTTGCTCAAACTTCGTTTTTTGACGTTTCAGAGGATTTTAATCATTTTTTAAAAACTGTTAGGGTTAAAAAATTTGGAGGTGGGGCGAGGTTGTTATCAATTTTTTTTTCATTTCAATATGTTTATACGCACCCAACATCAGTAGTTTTACATACCTATTAGATATATTTCACACATCATTTATTTCCCCATACATTTGCTCTTGAAATGGGGCAAAGGAGACATTGCCAGATGGACTACCAGTATTTTGTAACAAACCTTTCTCGTTGTGTGTCTAACATGTGCTTAAGACAATCCTTTATGAACGGATGTGGAAAGTACAGAGTTAATCCACAGCCTTTTCTTTTTTACTTCAGGTTATTATTAAAATATTATTTTCAGATGAATAACACCTGGACATATTGGAGTACCCAGTGCTGTAAGTACAGAAGGCACAACGAGGTAATTTTCATAGCTACCTCAATAGCTGTATTGATTCTAACCAGCGTGTTTTACTTGATCGTCCAGTTTTGTGAGGAGAAGAAAGCACCAACAATTATGCAACGTAAGTTATACAATTTCCTTTTTGAGTACAGGGTTTGTCTGAAAAGTAGTGCTTTTGTGGCTGTCATATAAATCTACTGCACAAACGCTTCTTTTTGATTGGTAAAATTTGCGACTATAACACAAACCCTTCTTTTTAATTGACGGAATTTGTGTCCTGGTGACAATTATTGTGACCCAGACACAAGTGACAAATAGGTCTTTAATATTAAATTATATTATTAATATTTTTTTATTTATTATAAGAATTAGGCGCCCCTCTCACAAAAATCGAATAATTTTTCTCTAGTTTGAGCCACATTACAAGAACTCGACTTTTCTGTCAAACCCTGAGATTTTATCTTATCTGATTGTACATATTTGTTTCCAGAGTCGAGATTTGCGGAATCTTTTAGTAGTAGCTCTCGGCGGTAGTTAATATTATCATAGCATTATCACATATTTTTAATCAAATATAAAATATTGTTTAAGTTTAATCATATAGTTTATGTGAATACAAAACAGAAGTCTTACATAATCTTCATTTGACATAAGCAGATATAAAGATGTGTTAATGCTGGTGAATCATGGTATTATGTTAACCAAAGAATAATATTTATAAATATGAATTTAAAAGCAATATATTTGAAAGTATAAACTAACTTTTATTGTTTCACAAATATTGTATTTTAAAAAACAACTATTGAGAAGTAACTTAGCATTGATGCTGAGTGAACAGAATATAAAATTGGTGAAGTATAACTTTGTGTCTAGATTTTGATTTTGTAATAAAACCTTAAAAATCAACATCCCCAGGGCTTTGATAGTAAGTATATGTATATTGCGTTTAGTTATTGGGGTTATATGTTCCATCATAATTCTTGTTTAGCTCATCTAAAATATAGCATTTTATAGTGATTCATAACATTGATAGAAGGATGGATAGATAGAAGGCACTCAATATAAAAATGTGTTTGAAACTGTGTGTCCTCAAAGGGCTGGTAGCATCTGCATTGAACATGGGATGAAATTCCTATTCATTGATTGACATAGCTGAGTTACATTGTGATATAAAATAAAGAAAAACTATGTGGTGTATTTAGGCAAAAATGGGTTATATGGTGTTAAGAGTTTCTACCTAAATTGGCTCAAATATGATTTGTATTTGTGTTTTTGGAAGGCTACTGACCATAGTACCGTTTCTGTTTTGTGTTTCTCCTGCAGCTTATGATCCCATGTCTTCTTTTTTATTTCTGATCCTACCCTCCTTCTACCCATTTGGTGTTTTAGAGTGTCCAATTTGGCATTCAATCCTCGCATATCTTCCATACTTGCATTCCTTGCTTTTGTGCGATGTTTAGAATATGCATTTTTTGATCCATACATGAAACATAATGGATTTTTTCGTACTGTGATCGAAAATGCAACCAAATTGACGCTATTTGTGTGTAAGAGCCTGTCAAGATTGTCAGTACTGCAGTCAAACCACGTGTTTACCATAAAACGTTTAAGTCCTCAAGCCAATACAGTGTTTTGGTTTCAGGCTCTTCCAACTACAGGTCGTGCCAGGGACCTGATTTCGGAACTTATATACCCTTAAGACCATTGTCACATTACTATCCCAAAAGGACTTAGGCCCCCTGTAAGAAGACTTTCATTCTTTTTGTAAGTAGTCTTCAAATCATTTTGTTATTAACGAATGTTTGTTGTAGCCTTTCTTAAACACAAAGTATTTTTTTGCAACTACCAATTGGTACTTCCTTGTTTGTTATTTCGTTTTTAAATATTCAGCATCGCAATGCCTGTCATGTTTAAGTAGAAACTTTATTTGTATGTATATATGTGAATACAATATGGTTGCATTCAATGAATTCGAATAGATTAGGAGGAGCCAAGCCTGAATTTTTTCATTACATTGTCGCCAAAACTAATTTGACTATCATTGCCTACCAAAGTGACAAACCAATACATCGTCGTACATTCTTTTTTTCTGGAAAGGATATTCAAGTAGCTATTTGTACTAGGTGTACTGACAAAGAACCAAGGCAGAAATTCCCGATAAGTTTCATATTTTTTTGGTCACCAGTTAGCGACACTGGCACTACAGATTTTGATGATGTACTATATCACTATCAAGCTAGTTTCCAAAGTACCGATGTACTGCTCCCGCGTGCTTGTCACGAGCAATGCTGTTTCTGGTCCACCCTGTATATAATAATAATCGCCTTTCTTGAAACTGTAAAATTCCATACATAGAAAAAGGGTTGCAAATGGTGGCGAAGCTTGGCAACACGCTACTCTAACACTTAACCACCCATTCAAAAAAACAAAAGTTGTTAGGTAGCAGATATAAAAAAAATTAATATATAATAATAATATACGTCTTTATTTATCCACAATTACATATTACATTGTAGTATAGCCTTACATGTTCATAAAGAAAAAAAATAAATTCTTCAAACTATGGACCCAAGCAGATTTGGGATTCAACAGCTTTCTTGATGCAATATGATGACATGTTTGAAATCGATTATTACACTAAGAATTTTAACTCCATCAACAGGGTACAGTCTTTGATATTCAATTTTAAGACCTAGTTGACTTTTAATTTCTGCTCTTTTATGATCTGAACAAAAAATAACATGGAACTGTGTTTATAACACTTGTCGATAAAAATATTCGCGCTTATCCAGTTTAAACTGCATTTTGCAATCCACAGAAAACTCTAACCATTGTTAGCAACTGTATAGAACACTAGGGCTGTATTGAACCCACGCACTTTTATATGTTTCCACAGAAAATTTAATGTAAAATGTCAACAACTGTCAAACTGGTGGCTTATCGACTTGTAATATTATGAACATACACCTGATTACTGACTACATCACAGTCGTTGACTTGCTCCTAAATAGTACGAATTCGTTGGTTGCAATGAACATGGATATCGGACGACTTCCTCTTTGTTGTATATTGTATCACAGAATTCTTTGTGGCGTTTGTAATTTTGTATTTTCCCATTAGGTTGCGGAAAAAATGAAACTATGGAAATGCGACCGCAGACAACAAACTCCGAGGCTGATCCTAAAGCATAGTACAACGTACAAATTTATTTAGTTTGTGCTTTTTACAAACGATCTTGGTTAATTTTACAGCAGACTAAGCAAATAACCAACATATTTTGTGAGTAAAAGGACGTATGGGTCTAAGGATCTTCATTCTTGATATAAACAATTTTATGGATTTCGGAATTTTGCCTATTGAAAAGTGGTAAAAAAGAGATAGTATGTAGAGCAGGTAAAATAGTAGTAGTTTATTCTGATACTTTTCATTTACATGAGAAATAAGCAAAATACGAAGCATTTGAAAATGTTTCTGTTCAAATAGACTTCATCCAGGGATAGTTTAAAAAGCTATTTGACAGTTTAGACAGGTTCTTCTAACAAGCTCTAGGGTAAAACTTCGTAATATGTCAAATGTGAGGCGTTTTTAAAACAATTTTATGCAACATACATGATCATATCGTAGACATTTTTGAAAAAGTAACAATTACGATATTGTCTGAAACCTGATATAATGATACAATTAAAGGATTGTAAGGCAAATAATGTCAATCTATTCTTGATAGAGTTCATAATGCCGAATGCTGAGATAAAATTTGCAACAAGCCATGACAAGTCCATTTTATTTGACTAGTTTTCGAATAATATTTTTCTTTAAAATGTAAGATGAGGACTTAAAAAACATAAGTATAGTATCTTTTGATGTTTAGTCTGCTGCGAAGTTTTGATGAATGGCCGATTCAAATAAAAACTAAAGATCTTGATGTTATCATCTGTCTCTGTGAGACATATTGCGTTGATTGTATTAAAAGATTGTTGTAATTATATTGTAAATATGTAAGAAATGCTGTGAATAGTATGATGCTGAATTGTACCGCAGGATATTTGCAAATAAAAGATTGCCTATCCACAAAAAAAAAGTTGTTTCTTTATATTTTTTACCTTCTATTATTATTTGTTTTGTGTTCAACCCACATTTCGAACTGCCGCGCCACTCCACTGTTAGTTCTTAAGGTGGGATTCCACTGAGGCAACAGTGAACGACATGTGGCATGCTTCTTGTTTCGTAGTGTGACATTCGACAGTGTTGCCAAAAATTCTATCAATGCCACATGCGGATTTTGTTTCCCTATGTGGCATGCGCTTTGTCGTACATGAGTGTAGCATGCGTCTTCACGATTCAATTCAGGCAACTTCTGTTTAGTACGTCATGTCATTACAAACAGTCGCGTCGGCTGCTTATTTAGTGTTTTCTTTGGATCGGACAAGGAAAAGAAAAACGCCAGAATATTGGAGATGAAATATATACCCCGTTCTTGCAAGGTGATGATCCACTCTGTTTTTCACGTAATTTTTTTCGTTCCCGATGGAACGCCGAACGCAAATTCTTAATCCGAACAGTTGTATTTTCCTATTTGAAGAAATTAACCATTAATAAATAATCCGACTATTTTTGCCTCATTATCGTACAAGGTCTGCCGTACCTGTCAATTCCCGTGATTTATCCTGCTTTAGTCGCGCATCCTTATATCCTTCCGATTTGTTGTTCCATAATTACGGTAATCTTCAATTAAACGTTGTTTTCTCATTGGCCCACTCCATTTTGTCGCCTGCTCCAAGCCGCACCGATCCGAGCAGGTTTGGATAGCCGGCGGCACTGATCAACACGTGGATTCATGTCGCCGACGGCGCCCTCGAGAGGGAACAACGGGCAACTGGTGGCATGCGACAAGGAGACATATTTGTTGAAGTTTTGTGTTGCGTCAATGCCGTTTACTACATGTTGCTCAAAAGTTGCCTCAGTGGAATTACGCCTTTAGTACACAAACCAAAGATGCACCATTTTCAAGACATGTGCAAGATCTTGTTAATCTAGCAGAAAACATGTGTTGACCAAATAATCTTGAGAACATTTCACCAGACTATCCGTTAGTCTATCCGGTTTCGAGGTTAATTTTACCAGGTGACATTGAGAGCAGTACGTATTGTTGTGGTAGTTAACTGTCAGCAATAATAAGAGATATGACATTGACCCTAGTAGGTGAGTCATCTAGCGTTTTCTTCTGGCAGTGTTTTGGTTCCTATTGTGCAAATATACTAAGTGACATATAAATCCGAACACCCAGTTTAAATGGTTTTATTTTAATAAAAGTTGGTGAATGTATTTATCTTACTGTAAATAACAAGTGAAAAAATTTTCAGTCTTATCAGTTGGACATTCCGGTTTTTATACTGCTTTTCTTTAATTATATGTCACTTAGTATATTTTGTGTTAGGGCTCGTATATTTATTATCTCTGCCAGACGGGTTATGTGTGTTGTCCTTTCTGAAGAGAGTTCAACGTTACGATTTTCTCCGTTTTTTTTTGTATTGTCCAAAACTTGGAGAAGCATTACGGGAAATCATCATCGTACCCGCGTTGTCTGTCATATACTAGTATAGTTGTAGTCATCGTTCTTGGCGGTTACATCATCAACGACATATGAAATAAGTAAACATATCGAGTCTCCGTACCATTGGCGGACAGGTCGTGATATGTTGTCCTTTACCTCTCCTACCGTAGAAAGTATTCATAATTTCTGTTTTGACGATATCACATTATCGGTCTTGCATTTTTTGATTTTGTGAGGTTCCTCAGGTGTTACTATGGGAAAAAAATTCGTATTTTCTGATTGTATTCGCTGAACACACAGCGCAGACTAATCTTCAGCGCATCTGCTACTCTCTCCAGTACGGATGAAGTGGGTAACAGGGGACCGCTGTTTTCATTCTCTTCTTGGAAATACTCTATAATAAATTTAGCACGAGCTGTCGGACTTCTCCATTGATCGTATTTCCGGGCTTGTACAATTTTATATTGAAGATTGATAACAGGACAACTCAATTTGCACGCCGATGTCAAGTAAGTTGTCACTCCGACAAATATGATTGAAGGGCACCCATACACGTAACGACAAAGTTTTCGAGACGGAGACACTCAACTAAAAAATGTACCTATGTCTTTGAGCTTATCGAACAAACGTTCACACACAGAGGCAGGTTGCATGTGAATGTATGATGGAGATCTATAAAGGCATATTTGGTAGTCTTACTTTGACCCGCCAAGAACGGTGACTACAACTATATAGTTGTAGTTACCGTTCTTGGACGTTACGTCATCAACGCCATATGAAATAAGTAAACCGATGGAGTCTCCGTACCATGGGCGCAGTCTAATCTTCAGCGCATCTGCTACTCTCTCCAGTACGCATCAAGTGGGTAATAGGGGACCGCTTTCATTCTCTTCCTGGAGATAATCTAAGAAATTTAGCACGAGCTGTCGGCCTTCTCCATTTATCGCATTTCCGGGCATTCTACAATTTAGTATTGAAGATTGATAACAGAACAACTAAAATTGTACGCCGATGTCAAGTAAGTTGTCACTCTGACAAATATGATTAAAAGGTACTCATACGTAACGAAAAAGTTTTCGAGACGGAGACACAGAACTAAAAAACGTTCGCACACAGGGATAGGTTGCATGTGTATGTATGAGAGAGATCGATATATGAAAGCAATTCCTGTAGTTTTACTTTGAAACGAACTATATACAACTCAGCTCATTCCTCCAATACTGCCATCTCTGAAGCAGATGTTACATTACATCAGAGTCAAACATTGATAGCTGAAGCATCATGTCGTTTAGGCAACACGTACGGCTGCGGAACGAGTACACCACAAAGTGTACAATCGCTAGTGCCAAGTTGACATCTTGTAGAAAAACCTACATAATGTCACAAGAAACCTGTATAATGTCAAAAAAATCTGACAATGTCACTTTTCAAGATACTTGATACTCCTGGCGCGGCTGCCTAGCTTTTTCCCAGCAGCTGCCGATACTGACGAGATGTGTTCGTGCTAGATCAAATCCTGGGTGGTCTGGACTCCGACAAGCCGAAATGAACGGCTTTTGCACTGGCGCGCGTTTTATGTTACTTTGACAAAACCAGTGTATATATTCATGTTCTTTCGGTCCGCACTTTGAACTGGTTTTGAAAAAATGTCGCACGACTTGAAGGTGATCATGGTGGTGTTGTGATCTGTTAGCAATATCGCATTTTACGGCTTTTACTTGTAGCTTTGCATGCAATAATTCTTTTAAAGACACATGTGTTTTTCTCTTCGTCGTAAATTTACCATAACAGCACGGGGAAGGTCAACGGAAATAAAATGTTTTCTGTTCTTTTGGGAGCAAATTTAAGATGAACTAGTGCAGAGTGTTTCGAACAGGGAACCAAGAAAACGCGAATAGATTGAATCGAATATGATGTAATAATGTACAATGTCGTCAGGGAATTATTAATGTCCCATATTTAATGTGTACGAGCGAGATAGAGAAACAAGTAACTAGTATACTGATATGATAAGAACTATAGTGTATTTACACCCAAGATAGAATGGATGCGTGATTGCCAAAAGCAAGGCCGGCGTACAGGGCCGCATTCAGGGCTACCTCCGAATGATGGACTACCACCAACGTGTTGTAAAACAAAGATGACAGTATTTAATAGAAACAGAAACTTAACAAATTACTCAAATACACTTAACAACAACAACAGCAACAACCAAGCAAGGTGAATACGAAAACACGAGCACGCCGTGATATACGCGACGGACGGTGGCCTGAGTGCAACTCTGCCTGCCCTGCCCCTGCCCCGCGCATTATTCCGCCATGCGGCCGCTTGAAATTTATTGGCGAATTGACCAATAAGAGGCGTTGTCCCCACCTGTTACCGAGAGATCACGCGCTAACTGTTATTATTTACATCTCATCTTGAATTTAGATTCAGTTTAGGCACGTCTTACGTATTTTGGTGCTAAACAGTAAACTTACCGAGTTTCTCTCTCTATCTCGTACTCATTAAATATGGAACTCAATGATTATCTGTTTTATTGACGTGTAAAGTAAAAATCAATAATACTCTATAAAAATAAATATATTTATACTTAGTATTTCGAATCGTAACTTATTCGAAGACAGTGTGAATTTCTAGAAAAAATATAACACTATCCACCCCAAGTTAACCTGGCCACATGATCTGCTTTCCTTTTCGAGTTCTTTATGAATCCTAGGTATTCCAGCTCTGTTACGATTTGCGTAAATCGAGCTCTGATGAAAACATCAAGGAAAATAAACAAAGTAAAAGGAAATGTAACTCCTAAAATTTATCTATGTCGTGATCTCACTAATTCATCTCCATATTCTAGCTATTAGATAAAAACGGTGATGATGAATAAAATTAATTTATTAACGTTTCGAATACCTCAACAATTTCATTTAACGTCATGGAGATGAAATAGTAAAGAAAAAGGAATGTACAAAGGATACTGTAACTCTGGCTTCACATATCTATCAGATTCCTCATCTGCGTCAGAGGGATCCACAATGCTCAAGAATGCTTGGAGCCAATCATATAGATTGATCATCTTTCCACATTCTAAGTGCAACTTATATGCAATGCAAATATCAGGCATTGTATGCCTTATTGAGGTGCTGTTAGGTATCTCACAACAAGAACACTAAAAAATACGTAAATGTAAAATGTTTGACGAAAAAAACAAACAAACTAAAATTTAGATACAAGCACAACGAATTTTTTAAACCAAATGACTAAGCAAATAGTGTGAACATATTGTTCAAGTAAATAAAGTAAAGTTTATTTAATAATATATAACGATAATATTGTAATCTGAATATAAAAGCGCTCACAGTTTTGTATGGTACGAGTAAACAAACAGCTTGTGCGTGGGATTGTACAAATTACACAAACACTAATTATGGTATGGACATTTTTTTAAAATTTCTAGTCCATTGCTATAATATTTTCAAAATAAAAGTCACTCAAGTATTGCACTATAAAATAGTTCACACACTTAGAAACAGTTCGACTATAATCGGTTTACGATACTGGTCATCAAAACGGTAAGGTAATCCATAATTGGTATTAATTTGAAAATGTATGATCAAAACAAGCATATAAATTCGTTAAAATCGTCTACATTCGGTTAATTTTACATGTTTGAGAAAAACTGGCTTATTAATCTGATATCATATACAGGGTGTCCCAGAAGTCGACGTCAAGCCGAAACCGGGCGATTGGCAAAGTCATAATAGCTATCAGAAAAATATTTAAAAAAATTTTATGTATGTGTTTTGAAAATTATAGGTCTTTGAAAAAGATATAGAAATTTCACACCCTACGGCAGTCTGTCAACTCCTGTTACTACAAATATTAACTTTTTTTGGATTTTATTTTTACAATGTAATGATGAATAATGCATCTTCAAACTGGTGTCTCAACCTTACTGCCAACTTTTCTCGTTCAGGAAAAATTGCCACTTATTTCCCAACCAAGTATTCCAAAGTAAAACTTTGCTCAACTTTAACTGGCTGTACTGGAAAAAATGTACTACGAGAGTTTGGCAAGTAACCTTAAAAGTTGGCGCATTTAATAACGATTCCAAAATGGTATAACACTTAGAAGATTACTCGTTAACTTATGCACAATTTTTATTTGAAAAAAAACTGATGAAAATTTTTCAAAATTTCCTAATTAAACAGCGACTATGAAAACGCACAAGGACCCTTAAGGATAACTGTTTGCACAACAGTGGGCGTCAAAATACTGCTGATGATGATTTACCTTTACAGCAAATGCTCAAACTGTTTTCCTTAAGCCGCAATACACGATCGACATCTTCTTAAAAAAGATCGGGTTATTAAACGAGCGAATCCACGGTTATTAACAAACTCAGCTGCTTCCAATAGTCTTTGCCGTAGCTCAGCTACATTTTGAATCGGCTTGAAATACACTTTTTCTTTTACAGTTCCCCAGTAAAAAAATCTAAAGGATTCAAATCAGGTGATCGGGCTGGCCACGGTATTGTACCAGACCGCCTTATCCATCTGCCTGGAAAGTTTTGATCGAGAAACTCTCTCACTGAGAGTGCATAGTGCGCTGGGCAGCCATCATGCTGAAACCGCATGTCCCTGTAAATACTCAGTGGCACGTCCTCCAATAAATTTTTTAAATGATTTTGCAAAAAACCTAAATAAACCTCAGCAGTCAAAGTCTCTGGGAACTCAAACAGACCGATTATTTTACCATTTAAAATTCCTGTCCAATGGTTTATCTTGAAGCGATATTGAGATTTATCTTCTCTCATCAAATGTGGGTTTGCTACGTGCCACTCGTGTAAGTTATGCAGGTTCATGTAGCCATCTTTCTTAAATGTGGTCTCATCTGACCATACAATTTTTTCAAAGAACCGTGGATCTTCCCTGTGTCTTTCTAACATTGTGCGACAAAAAGCAACTCGGGGCTCATAATCCCGGGGCAGAAGAGCTTGAACACGCTGTACGTGGTATGGATGAAGCACATCACTTACTTGCTATTGCACACTTTGATACCGATCAGTACTCCTTCGTTTACTGCGCATCTTTCAGCTTGACGTCGACTTCTGGGACACCCTGTATATAATTCGGTATCTATGAAAAATAGAGGAAGAGAGAAAAATTTATAAAAAAACAAAGTAAGTATAGACATCACAGCAACAGTTTCAATACATTTATGAGACCTATTCAATCATCACAGATATTATATTATGTATGTTTTGCCTAGGACCATTTGAGATCCAAAACTTGAGTTCTTTCTTGAACATAAATGTTTTATCGATCCTCCTAATATGCTCGGGCAAGGCTTTAAAAGCTTTGGGACATAATAAGTACCTGTGACCTCTTAGGCTTAGGCCAACTGTTTTGTAAATTTGTGGCAGTTTTAATTGTACGTTCCGTTGTCTTGTATTATGGCAATGCTTACTGTAATCACTGTTACCTTTATGAAAGTGCTGAAATGTGGCTAGCTGTTGGTAAAATAATTATCTGAAATCAAATACTCCCACTTCTTTGTAAAGCTCATCAGATGGTTTTTTTTATACTCCAACTACCACGAAGGCCTAAGGCCTAAGCACCCATTGGGTACCGTGGGGCTATAGGGGGATACATAGGAAGGGGGGGGGGGCACCACACGGACCCTAGCGAGGGAACACGTGTGCATGCAACATGCACACATTCTGGCTCCGTCTACGAGAACCACCGGGTGGTACCTCCGCGTTCGACAGTCAGAGACTATCTACCACCTTCGAACAATCACAACATCCATAGCCAAGAGAAAAATTTCTCCTGGGACGGGACTCGAACCCGCACAGCGCATGGCGACTGATCAGGACACCGAAGAGTCTACTACTGCGGCCACCGCTGCTGCCAAGCATTATGTTAAGTATCCACTTCTGCATTACTTCCAATTTATTGAGGTTTATACTTGCTAGGCCACCCCATGCAAGAATACCATAAGTGAGATGAGATTGAACCTAAGCAAAATACAGATTTCAGAATGTCTGTGTTGAATACAGAAAAGTATAATTTGAATTTTAGGACAAAGCTCCGTATTCTTCTAACCACCTGGCTGACATGTTCTGACCATCTCAGATGCCTTACTAGTACAACACCTAAATACTTCACGCTACTTTGAGATGCTATCGTAAAATTCTTGATGTAAAGCCTTTGATATTGTGGCATGTGGGATTCATAAGAAGTAAATTTTAAAAAATATTTTTTGTTCCAATTTACTGAGAGTTTCTTGCTATTAAAAAATTCAACAATTTTCGTAAAATCTGTTTCCGCTGTGCCACGAAATTATGTTTATATAATATTGCCGTATCATCCGCAAAACTAATGATATCTCCGGCAGTTTCCATCTCGAACAGATCATTAATATATAGCAAGAACAATAACGGTCCCAACACCGAACCCTGCAGCACGCCATAGCTTGTTCCCAAATATCTACTTTTAGTGCCTCCTATTGTGACACACTGCTTTCGGCCAGACAAATAACTAGAAAGCATCTTGTAGGTCATACCCCTGAAACCAAGACGTTCCAACGTGTCTAGCAAATTTTGATGACATAAGGTGTCGAAAGCATTGGCCAAGTCTACAAATTAATATACAAAGAGTTGTAGTATCAACAGCCGCATTTATTTGTGATAGAAGATAAGAAATCGCATCCTGAGTTGATCTGCCCTTTTGAAACCCGTACTATTTTTCTGACAGAATTAGAAAAGAAGATATTCTTGAATCTAGAATTTTTTCAAGTACTTTAGCTAAAACTGATAGTAAAGAAACAGGCCTATAGTTATTAACCTCTTTTTTCCTACCGGATTTATGAAGTGGCTTAATTACAGACACCTTCAAACATTTTAGAAAGATGCCTAGTAAAATACACCGATTCAATAAGTAAGTTAGTGGTCTGATTATATACTGGCAGTATTGTTTCAAAATTTCGACTCTAATTTGATCTACCCCAGGTGACTTGTTGTATTTTATTCTTTGTATTCTGTTTGCTACCTCTGCTATAAAAATTGAGTTACAAAGTCTTTTTTGTGAGTGGTTTATTTTTGAATGCAATCTCTTGAGCACTTAACGCAGTTCCATAATGCTTTTGGGTCAGACAAGTTTTGTGAAACTAAATTATATTTGGATTTGGCAGTTTTTAAAATGTCTGTTAATTGATTTCTATAGTCATTGTATTCTTTCAGTACGTTAGCGTTATTTGGATCCTTCTTTACTTTTGTGTACAATTCGTTTTTCCTATTCACTGATGTGACCATCCAGGGTGATCTTTGAATTTTATTGTGTTTAAGTTTTACTATAGTTGTGCAAATTTCAATCTTTTCAGTAATTAAATTAATAAATTTTTGCATTGCTTCTTCTATGTCATCCATTTGGTAGACATCAAGCCATAACTCATTTATGAAAGCTTTCTCAAGCTTATCATAATCCAAGAAATATTTGTATTTAAGACTTGCATCGTGCTCTGGTTTCGTACAACATTGGAATATAACAGGTTAGTAATCAGATATAGGTATTTCCAAAATTACCGGTATATTATAACCCAGATATACTAAGTGACATATAAATCCGAACACCCAGTTTAAATGGTTTTATTTTAATAAAAGTTGGTGAATGTATTTATCTTACTGTAAATAACAAGTGAAAAAATTTTCAGCCTTATCAGTTGGACATTCCGGTTTTTATACTGCTTTTTTTTAATTCACTAACGCTCTAAAAATGGATATTTCAGCCGCAGTAAACGTTGGCGGATTTTGGTTCTTGACATCCTTTACGATCGGTTACGATGCCTAGAGTACGGAGACCTGTACGATTTCGTCAACTTAGTGAGTTTGATAGGGGCCGTATAGTGGGACTTCTGGAAGCTGGACTTTCTTTTCGGGCAATTGCAGTTAGAGTGCAAAGAAGTGTAGACACTGTGGTTAGGTGTTGTCAGGCATGGCTTCGAGAAGGCCGTACGCAAAGAGCAAGGGGCACTGGACGCCGCCGTAGAACAACAGACCGTGAAGATCGCCGCCTAAGATTATTGGCCTTAAGGGACCGTTTCTCCACTACCAGGTCCATTGCAAATGAATGGTTTGCAGAACATGGAAGACCTATTGGCATGCGAAGTGTTTACCGACGAATGAGAAGTTTTGGCTTGTTTTCATACCGGCCACACTGGGTCCTCCCTTTAACTCGAGAACACCGACGTAATCGCCTTGAGTAGTTCAGACAACGGTCACTCTGGGATCAGGAATGGAACAGTATTGTCTTTAGTGACGAGTCTCGATTTTGTTTAGGCATGCACGATGGTCGTGCCAGGGTTAGAAGGCGACGTGGTGAAAGGAGGAATCCACAGTTTTTTGTTGAAAGACATGTTCATCACACTGTTGGAGTTATGGTTTGGGGTGCTATAGCTTATGGTTCCAGGTCACCTTTAATCTTCATCAGAGGTAACATGAACGCGCAGCGTTATATCCACGAAGTTCTAGAACCCCATCTTTTACCCTATCTTGACACCCTGGCAGATCCAACTTTCCAACAAGATAATGCCCGACCACATATTGCAAGAGTGACAATAGACTTCTTTCCACATAATGATGTCACATTGTTACCATGGCCACCAAGATCTCCCGACTTATCCCCAATTGAGCACGTAGGAGATTGCTCAATTTGCAACGTCCTCCTCAGACTCTAGAAGCACTTCGAGAGCAGTTGGTGGTTGCCTGGAATGAGATACCACAGGAGGACATTGACCACCTGATCAGAAGCATGCCTAGGTGCGTTGGAGAATGCGTAGCACATCAGGGTGCATCCACACATTATTGAAGGTCAAAGGGCTTTAAAGCAGTGCAATCATTTTGAAATTTTTATCATTTACTTATTATGCTTCATTAAGTACTTATACAAAATTTTATTGAAATAAAACCATTTAAACTGGGTGTTCGGATTTATATGTCACTTAGTATATTTCTTTGACCTGACAAAAATGTGGACTATGCATGTTTTTGATTGGTTATTAACCCTTGTATATGCGCTAATGAGAGATCTATACTTATATGTAGCCATTATGTTCAAATATTCGTTAGTATAATCAATATCGGTGAATAGAATTTTGATATTAATACATCCAACAACTATATCTAAATAGTAACGCCTGTTATAAAGTTCAAGAAACTCCTGAAGGTTGGTATTAAATTGTTTTGGATATAACGATGGAGATCTGTACAGTGCAAGAACGCTGATCTTATCCGTTCCAAGAGCTACTTTAGAATTAATTGCCCTCATATTGTCTCCTGATGATCTAGTGTTTGTTTGATATATACTACAGTTCCATCAGCTTAATTTGTTTACATTTCCATGATTTGTAGTTCGTTGATGTTTTTGTTTTGACTTCTTATATTGCTGTGGAAAACTCTGAATTTTGACATGCCCTCAATATTTTTATCTAACAACGTCTTACTCTGCAAGATATTACTTGCAATCTTTGTGGGTTCTTCTGTCACATACAAATTTTTGACATACTCCTCCATTGTAAACATAAGAATGCAATATGCGATTCCGTATAGAATAAGAACAGTAAGTAAATTGTCTGTTTTCAGGAAGTTAAATATCCATTAAATATTTTAAAATATTTAAATGCAAGGTACTAACACTAGGATAAAAAATCAATGTCCCACATTGTATATGAATATAAAAAATACCTGAACATTTCTTCACTCTTGATCACTTCTACTGTTTATCCTCTCAAGCTCGTGGCTGCTTCCTTTTGCTTCCACATTTTTCATCGTCCTCAGTAGTAGTAACACTTTTGGAACACTCACCACTTTTCTTTTGGCCGATTATAATCCCTGGGAGAATTACTTTTGAAGGTATATCACATGGTTCAGAACTTGATTTATGTTGGGTTTTTAACTTGAAGGCTTCTAGGATCTTATCAGATTCCGTTTCTTTCAAGAAATCTATATTAAATTCGAATTCGTTTAGTTTTAACAAGTTTTTCTCAATCTTTGCGTTTAGGTTTAGGCTTTTTGCAGCTGCAAATTGGAAAACCATAGTTTTCGATTTTCATAATCTGATGGAATGTAGTCAAACTTTTTAACGTTTGAAAATATATCGAGTTTCAGTTGGTAGGATATTATTCCAATCAGTAATAGTTTAACCCGTCCTTCAACTGTTGTACCAACTCTACAGAAATCCCTGAAGTCTCAATCAGTGCATGGCTTATTCAGGTTTTGATTAAACACCTGCAATGCATGTTTGATGTCATTCCATCTGTTACTCTCTTTTAGACCATATATGATATTGAATTTCCGGAGCCTCCGATTAACAAGGTCAAGTTCATTTCTTAGTTCTTTGTTTTCATTTCTAAGGTCTTTATTCTCCTGTTTCCATTTTGAAAGTTCTACATTAAAATCTTTTCGCAGCTCATGAATGTCTTGGGTTACGGCCGTTTTGTTATCGATGATTTCTTGTTTTGTTTTTATATTTTTTTCTAATACATTTTTCAGTAGCTTATAGACCTGCTGGTTTGTTACTTCACCCTCTCGGATACTCATTGCAAACAAAAACAGTCATGGTACAAAAATTGCTATTTCACAGAAACATTGCTAACCGACCGCACTAATTCTCACTGATATCAACACATACTGTTTACGTTTTGGCTAGAAAATGCAGTCAGGTGAGGTTTTTGTTCCGAATTTCCCGAGGCCTCCCTGTTTTACCATTAATCTTTCACACATTGAAGTATCACACATTTATACAAAATTCTACAATTGTTCTTCACTTTTATACCGACTTAGTTGTTAAATTTCATAGGAGCTCGCTTTAACATACATGCCGCTCAAGTAAAAGTACATGTATATGGTTCAATGTAAACTTCCAAGTACAGATGGTTGTCTCATTTTAATTATTACCTGTAAATAATACTGCGGATCATTCAAAGCGTTGTGTATAGCCGTTCTGTGGGTACCAACTATATTATTTTGTATTGAAACATCATCAAAAAAGAATATTTCATGTAAGTAAAATGATTTTGGTTCCACAAGATACTCTTCAAATGCATTTGATAGAAGATCCAACACCTCTTTCCTGAGTTGTTCATACTTGTTCAACTGCTTTGCTGATTTTTGTTTTGCCATTCCCAATAATTTCTGAAAATAAAAAATGGGGTCAAGTAGGTTGCCTCCAACACCGTTATCGGTTCAAAAAGGATTATGTTCAGCACAAACTTGACCCTCGAAGAAAAAAGTCAGGCAAACAGGATCATATAATTAATCCATAGACATTCTTTCCCCGCTCTACCGCCAGTCCATCTGGCAACGTCGCCTCTCTCCGATACATGACCCGGTCAGACGTGGCAACACAGCATAGAAAACACTAGGTTGGGAGCATATTAATGTACTAATATCAAAAAATTGAGATAAACCGTGCACATCCTGAATTTTCTTCTCTAAAATGTTTTTTTCAAATATGATCAGGATTCTCTGAAACTTCCTTTTTCTCGGCCACTACTTGGTATAGTAGCAACATTGTGTAAAAATTTCATCGAAGTCCGTCCAGTACGTGGTTAGTAAGTATACTACGTGACATATAAATCCGAACACCCAGTTTAAATGGTTTTATTTAATACAATTTTGCATAAGTACTTATTGAAGCATAATAAGTAAATGATAAAAATTTCAAAATGATTGCACTGCTTTAAAGCCCTTTGACCTTTAATAATGTGTGGATGCACCCTGATGTGCTACACATTCTCCAACGCGCCCAGGCATGCTTCTGATCAGGTGGTCAATGTCCTCCTCTGGTATCTCATTTCAGGCAACCACCAACTCCTCTCAAAGTGCTTCTAGAGTCTGAGGAGGACGTTGCAAATTGAGCAATCTCCTACCCATCATATCCCACACGTGCTCAATTGACAATGTGACATCATTATGTTGAAAGAAGTCTATTGTGAGTCTTGCAACATGTGGTCGGGCATTACCTTGTTGGAAAGTTGGATCTGCCAGGGTGTCAAGATAGGGTAAAAGATGGGGTTCTAGAACTTCGTGGATATAACGCTGCGCGTTCATGTTACCTCTGATGAAGATTAAAGCTGACCTGGAACCATAAGCTATAGCACCCCAAACCATAACTCCAACAGTGTGATGAACATGTCTTTCAACAAAAAACTGTGGATTCCTCCTTTCACCACGTCGCCTTCTAACCCTGGCACGACCATCGTGCATGCCTAAACAAAATCGAGACTCGTCACTAAAGACAATACTGTTCCATTCCTGATCCCAGAGTGACCGTTGTCTGCATCACTCAAGGCGATTACGTCGGTGTTCTCGAGTTAAAGGGAGGACCCAGTGTGGCCGGTATGAAAACAAGCCAAAACTTCTCATTCATCGTTAAACACTTCGCATGCCACTAGGTCTTCCGTGTTCTGCAAACCATTCATTTGCAATGGACCTGGTAGTGGAGAAACGGTCCCTTAAGGCCAATAATCTTAGGCGGCGATCTTCACGGTCTGTTGTTCTACGGCGGCGTCCAATGCCCCTTGCTCTTTGCGTACGGCGTTCTCGAAGCCATGCCTGACAACACCTAACCAGTGTCTACACTTCTTTGCACTCTAACTGCAATTGCCCGAAAGAAAGTCCAGCTTCCCGAAGTCCCACTATACGGCCCCTTTCAAACTCACAAAGTTGACGAAATCGCACAGGTCTCCGTACTCTAGGCATCGTAACCGATCTTAAAGGATGTCAAGAACCAAAATCTGCCAACGTTGATTCTTTACTGCGGCTGAAATATTCATTTTTAGAGCGTTAGTGAATTAAAAAAAAAGCAGTATAAAAACCGGAATGTCCAACTGATACGGCTGAAAATTTTTTCACTTGTTATTTACAGTAAGATAAATACATTCACCAACTTTTATTAAAATAAAACCATTTAAACTGGGTGTTCGGATTTATATGTCACTTAGTATATTTAATAAGTATGAAAACATAATTCTGAATTTTAGCTGATCTTACCTCTCTAAATTGCTGTCTGCTATCTATGGTTTCATCTGCCAGTGCTTCAGTTTCAATCTCTTCAACAGCATCTTGTAGTTCCTCCATGTTAAAATCATTCATACTTTTCAAGTATTGTTCCAGTTTATTTACAAATTCTGCGATCTTATTTTGCTCTACGGACGTCAACTTTGGTGAAAGAATATCTATGATAGCGGAAAGTTTAGATATGAGCTCAACCTTAGAAAGAAATCCTAATAATTGGAAAGACTCCTTATATTCGTCTGATTTAGTTATATCTCTTGATACAGCTACTGCATATAGTTCCCTAATCTACAAGGAAAAAGCTAATTTAGCTAATTACAGTGCATGGTATATAACGTGCTTATGGTTATTACGTACAACTTATTCCATTGGACCCGCCCAAATAGTCTTGTCATTTTACTGGATATAATAGCGTACTGATTAAAATTTTAACTCCTGCTATAACCTTCAATATTTTTACCCACTTAGTAGTCATATTCTGATTATAACGTACAAACCTCCGTTATAAACAGAGTAATACTCCGCCTCTGTCGGGGATTCCCATTAATCGATACTGGGAAGTTTCACCGCTGTCGCGCGTTCGCAGGAATGCCTCCGGTGCGGCACCGGGGATTTCCAGTAATCGACTCTGGGAACTTTTACAGCGCGGAATGAGATATCAGGTAGTTTTAGATTGGACGTTGCATTCAACTGTGCGAATTTTTAGTATTCATTGTTTTGTTAAAATGACAGATACGTGGAAAGCTGTCGGTTTGAAAGAAAAGATAGACATCATTAAAAGTATCGAGATTGCCATCGGCAAATCGGAAACTGCTAGAAGGAATAAGATGTCAAAAACAATTTGGTGCAGTCGTGAAAAAATCAAGCAGGCAAGTGAATATAAATCGCAGAGAATTAAGAAAATTAGAAATCCCGTACGTCGAGATGTGAATCAAGCTCTTATACGATGGTTTGAGCTGCGAAGAACCGAAAATATTCCTATAAGTTGTCCAATTTTACAAGCAAAAGCGGAAGATTTATCCAAGAGATTACACGGTGAGGATTTTAGGTGCACTACGGGTTGGTGCGAGCGTTTCAAAGTTTGTCACAACATAAATGTCGGCGAAGTGTCTGGTGAAGCAGGAGATGTTAACAAGGAAGCTGTGGTGAACTGGTTAACGGATAAATGGCCAGGCATTGCACAAAATAACAGCTGTGAGGATATTTTTAATGAGGACGAAACCGGACTATTTTACAAGATGACTGCAGACCGTATACTGAAATTTAGAGGAGAAAAGTGTGTGGGACGCAAACAATCAAAGCCTAGAGACACCTTTTTAGTTTTCGCAAATATGGCAGGTAGTGAAAAATGTCAACTGTTATTAGTAAATACGAACAACCGAGGCGCATGAAAAATATTAAATTACTTGCCTATGATTTATAAATCGAACAGACGCGCATGGATGACTTCAGACATTTTTATTAATTATTTAAAGGCGTGGGATGAAAAACTAAGACGTGAAAAAGGAAAAATATTGCTTCTAGTAGACAATTGTGCAGCTCATCCTAACAATGTAGATCTGACAAATATCAGATTAGAATTTTTGCCTTCCAATTGCACCTCGGTCGTACAACCGATGGATCAAGGCATTATGTATCGCCTAATCCGAGCATTGGAGAGGAAACTTTCAACATAACAAATTTACACTCGGTAAAATTAATTGCACAATCATGGAATGAAGTTTCAAAAAACATTGTATAAAACTGCTTTACACATGCTGGTCTAGAAAAATCGATCGACGATGATTCAGATGATGACTTGCCTCTGTTGTTACAAATTTCTCACAATTTACTGATTACGGATCTGATCAGTGGCGGCCGGTCCATAGGGGCGAAAAGGCTACAGCCCCCCAAGACAAAATGCGAATTAACAAAAAATTTAAAATATGATTTTGTGATTAAATAATTTCCAGATACGTAGTCGTGCCATAAGTTCTGTCCCATGATAATCTCATGATAAAAATGAAACAAGATAAGATATATTTATATGAAAGATATTATTTATTCGACAACATTTTTAGAATTCATAATCAAACAGTTTTATTCAAAATGTCCCCCCTTGGCCTTCACACACTGCTTCAATCTCGCGGGCCACTCATCTATCACTGCACGCACAGCTTTCAAAGGAATAGCTGCCGCTGATCGGATCAAATCCGCTTTCAGGGACTCGATATTACGGTGGGCTTTGGAGCAGGCCAACTGCTCTAGCAGGTCCCACAACTTGTAGTCTAAAGGATTGAGGTCCGGACTCCCTGAGGGCCAATCTTCCGCAGCAATGAACTCTGGCACATTGCTTTCCAGCCAGCGCTGCGTACTCTTAGCCTTGTGAGCGGGGGCGGAATCCTGCTGGTAGACCCAGTGTTGGTTGGCAAACAATGTACCACTTAAAGGCTTGACGATAGGATCTAGTATGTCGCTCTGATAGTTTGCCGCTTTTGTTTTCACGCCCTGTTTACAGAAATGGAGCTGAGTGACCCCTTCGTAGGACACCCCCCACCAAACCATGACTGACGCAGGGTGGTGGCCTCTCTCAACTCTCGGAATGATCTCCGAAGCTTCCTGTGAACTCCTTGCATACACTTTGTCATTTTGTCGGTTGAATTTTTCTTCTATGGTGAAGATTTTCTCATCCGTGAACAAAATCTTTCGGAATCCCCCAGCTGCGTACCTCTCCAAGAGCTTCTTGGATCTTGTCGCCCTGATGTGTCGCAAGGTGGCCGTAAGTCGCTGGCCCGTACGTCTCCGGTAAGCCCCTAGCCCTAGGTCTTGTTTAATGATGCGCGACATCGTCCGGACAGGAATCTTCATTTCCCTGGATAGGATCTTCTGCTTCCGGAGTGGATTCCTTTGAATCCTGGCTTTTACGGCTTTGATGGCTGCTGGAGTCCTTACTTGACGAGGTCTTCCGCTTCTTGGCCTGTCATCAACAGAGGACGTCTCATTGTACCGCTGAATGGTCCTAGACACAAATTTACGCGATATTTGAAGGCCGCGTAAGAGTTCAAAAATCTGACTAGCACTGTGATTACACTTATGTAAAGCTATCACTGCAATACGGTTCTCTGCCTTGCCCCACTCCATCGTTATGCTTCGAGAGATCAATACAAACTGAGGTATATGTAATTACCCGAAAAGCGCTTAATCAACTGACACCACAATGTAAACAATCGGACAAGTATTAACAGGTCTACACTTGTTTGAAAACGAGGGACAGAACTTATGGCATGACTACGTATATACGAAAATTCAATCAAAACCTGAATTTTAATAGTAGCCAGTTACGCAACACGCAATATATATATATATATATATATATATATATATTATCCGATCCCAATACCCCGAAGTCGCGAGCTAGATTCCCTATCGATTCGAGGCTAGAATAATTTTTGCCGCGATCGCCGACCTGATTGAGTGGCTCGCTACGTCATACCCCCCACGCGCTTACGAGTTTTATACGGGATTTTAACACGCGAGGTGGCGAAATAATTTTTAGCCAGTCCCGATTTACGTGTGTACGAAATCGCTTCGTCGCGTCCCCGTGCCGTCGTTCGGGCGTTCAAAAAGTTTAAAATGGCAAATGAAGTACAAAATTTGTTAAAAGGTGAATTTTCTCGGCTTCCGCTTGCTGAAAAAATAATAATAAAATCCCTTGGAAGGCCGATTCCAAATATCAACCTTACTCAGGCTGATAAATCGACGAAAGCTGGTTGTTTTAAGAGACATTTTAAGAAAGATATCTATAACAAAAACAAATGGATATGCGGTTGTGGCACATTAAACGCCCTGTTTTGTTTTCCGTGCTTACTGTTTTATTCAGATGCAGCGGAAAAGACATGGACAAGAACTGGATTTAAAGATTTAAAGCATATAAACCAGAAAATTAGTAAGCATGAAAATTCGGCTCGTCACATGATTTGTTCGACAGAATTAGCTTTATTGGGAACAGCTAGTATCGCTGCTCAGTTAGATTCCGCTTACAGGCAAAATATTATTAAGTACAACGAGCAAGTGGACAAAAATAGATATCTTTTAAAAAGAATAATAAACTGTATAAAGTTTTGCGGTAAATTGGAATTAGCGTTAAGAGGGCACGACGAAAGTGAAGACTCTGAAAATCGTGGCATTTTTCAAGAGTTGATTAATTTTACGTCCGAACTGGATACAATATTAAAGGAACATTTAAAAAGTGCGACACTGTTTAAGGGTACCTCTAAAACAGTACAAAATGAAATACTAGATAGTATGTTGGAAGTCTGCCAACAAGAAATTCGACAGCAAATTAATGCAGCAGAGTTTTTAGCTATACAGTGCGACGAAACAACAGATATTTCACATCATTGTCAAATGGTAATGATATTTAGATATCTCCATGAAGGTGAAATACAAGAAAGATTTTGGCGTTTTTTGAGCGTTACGGACAAGACAGCTGAAGGTTTGGCAAAGTGTATCGAAGAAGAACTAGGCCCATTATTAAAAGATTCACCCCGCAAATTAATTGCGCAAACTTATGATGGTGCAAACGTAATGAGCGGTAGCAGTGGTGGAGTTCAAACAAAAATCAAACAAAAATATCAGAACGCTCATTTTATACACTGTTACGCTCACCAACTGAACTTAATTATGCAGAGAGCAGCCAGCCAAAATCCAAAAGTAAAAGTGTTTTTTTCAAACCTGTCGGCAATTCCAAGTTTCTTCTCCAACTCCACGCACAGATGCGATTTATTGGAAAAAATAGTTAAAACCAAAATGCCAAAGGTTGCGCCAACACGGTGGAATTATAACATTCGCACAGTCAGTGCCGTTTTTGAGAACCGTGAAAGTCTTATTGATTGTTTCCGGGAGTTAGAGAATAAATGTGATAAAACAATTACTAGTAAGGAGGCATACGGTTTAAGAAGAGCACTCGAAGATTCTGATTTCATCTTTTTTTTGACTTTTTTTCACAAAACCCTACCGCACGTAGCTATTTTGTTTAACCAGTTTCAAAGTAGGAATGAAGACAGTGTACAACTTTTAAAAGATATTGACGTATTTGAGAAGGCCATTGTATTGATTAGGGACACTACAGAGGATATACAGCAAACTGTTGAAAATGAGCATGGAGACAATGGAAATAAACGCAGAAAAGTAGGACCCGAAGAAAGAAATTGTATTATTGCAAAAGAAGTTTGCGATATAATAATTGTACAGACAAAAGAGAGACTTTCTTACAGGGGTCATCTAGAAGCTGCATCTTTATTAGATACACAAAACTTCACACACTATTCGAGATATTTTCCAGCAAAAATACTGAATTCAGTTGTGACTTATTATCCAATGGTAAATAAAGAAAAACTGAAAACCGAATTAGAAGTAATGTACATGAGGGAAGACTTCAAAAATATTACAGGTGGTTTGAATTTGCTGTCCCTATTGACTAATAACAACCTAGAGGAAACTTTTAGCGAAGTAACTAAGTTGTTGCAAATAATTATAACTACTCCCATGTCAACTTCCGAAGCAGAGCGCTGTTTCTCAACCCTTAAGAGGATAAAATCGTTTTTAAGAAACTCGATGGGCAATGAACGACTGAATGCATTGGCAATGATGTCTGTTAATAAGAATCTGGTACATAATATCAGCAATTTCGACGAAAAAGTGATGGAACATTTTATTTCACAGAAAGACAGAAGATTAGACTTTACATATAAACATTAAAAAATATTTTGTAATAAATAGAAGTGTGAAGTGTGACAGTTGAAACAAAATGTTTGCTCTAGCTGTAGGTAGGTATACTTAGTCGTTTATAATACAATAATACATTTAGGTATACCGTATTTCTGTTCTCTTTTCCAGTTATTTATAGTTACATGTGTTGTAAGAAAGTGAAAAACTATACTTTTGAGTACTGTTGTTCTTTTGATAATAGATGCTCTGTTGCTTTCATATTAGATGCTGCTTTCTTTTGCGATAAGTTCTCGTACCTAAAATATGTTTGTTCCTATACAGAGGACTGTACATAAAATATATAGGTATAGGATTGCCAACTGATCCATCCACAAAATCAGGACATAAAAAATGCAAAAAAAAATTATAGCTCTAAAAATGTATATTTGAATTTGAAGGCTCAAAATGGAAGTTTTTGGGCGTGGCACCGTAAAAATTCCTTGCCTCCCGCGGTGACTGCGGCAGGCCACCCTTCCCTACAATAGCCCCCCATTTCTCACAGCCACCGGCCGCCACTGGATCTGATGATACAATTTTAATAGCCTAGTTAAAAGTTAAGAAGTACAAACAAAAATAAGTTATTTTTTCGAGAAATCATAATTGTATGCGTAATTACATTTCAATGTTATACTATAAAATATGTTACATATTCATATTACTATATCTTTTTTATTTATATTTTTAGTTAGTTTAGTCCTTTAAATGAACCAAATAATAATTTACATACAGGGTGCGCCATATTTTGTCGGTTTGTCGGTATGCAAACATGAAATAACTTTGAAAACCAAAAACTGATTTCTATATATCGGGTATTTTTATTAAATATGCTCCTTTACAATTTATTGGGACTAGTTTTTGAACACAACATCTATCAAGTGGCCACCTTTATTGGCCGAAACAAAATGTGCCCGATACGCTGCGTTTTTCATTACTTTTCCGAGCATCTCTGGTGGTATAGCGGCGATTGCGGTACGAATGTTTGCCTCGAGTTCTTCAGTGGTCTGGGGCTTGCTGGCATACACTTGACTTTTCAAATAACCTCACAAGAAGAAGTCCGGTGGGGTCAAATCTGGAGACCTGGGTGGCCAGTCAATGTCACCTCTTTTTGACATCAGACGTCCAGGGAATTTTCATTGCAGAAACTGGTTTATTTTATTTGCAGTGTGGCATGGCGCACCGTCTTGTTGAAACCAGTAACCATCAAGACCTTTTTCACGCTTTTGTGGGACGAAATAATGAGCCAACATCCACCGACATCGATTTCCATCGACTGTTTCGTTTTCGTTGAAGAAAAATGGCCCAATGATGGTTTTGGCGCAAACGCCGGCCCAAACAGTCACTTTCCGGGCATGCAACGGCATTTCATGTAGATTTTGCGCCCCCCAAATGCGGCAGTTTTGCTTATTAATGCCGCCAGAAAGCGTGAAATGGGCCTCGTCGGCGATCACAATTTGCTTCCAAAAATCAGGTTCAGCATCAACCATGCGAGCGACTATTTGGACGTATTCCAAGCGACGTGGACGGTCAGTTGGCAATATTTTTTTGTGTTAACTGCGCCTTATAAGGAAACAAATGCAAATAATCATTCAAAATGCGCCGCAACGTGGTTCCACTGATGGCAAAATGCTGAGCGAGGTGACGATACGACACTTTTGTGTTCTGGGGGCAACGCTGTCTCCGACTGCTTCAACCAATTCCTTGGAACGTCTGGGTCGTTGATGAATGGTATGTTGACGATCTCCCACTGTCCCGTACTCAAGAAAATTCGAAACCAAATGATGGATAGTGTTGTCAGGCGTGCATGTTTGCCACGATATTTTCGAGGATATGCACGTTGCGTTAACACAACTGAACGACGATTTTCAATGTACATTGTGACTATTTCGGCGTGTTGTTTCGGTGTAAAGCGATTCATGACTAAAATTGTAGTAAATTGACGTTTCAGAAACACGTATCACCAAATCACTCGGTTGGTAAATATACTAAGTGACACCCAGTTTAAATGGTTTTATTTTAATAAAATTTTGTATAAGTACTTAATGAAGCATAATAAGTAAATGATAAAAATTTCAAAATGATTGCACTGCTTTAAAGCCCTTTGACCTTTAATAATGTGTGGATGCACCCTGATGTGCTACGCATTCTCCAACGCGCCTAGGCATGCTTCTGATCAGGTGGTCAATGTCTTCCTGTGGTATCTCATTCCAGGCAACCACCAACTCCTCTCGAAGTGCTTCTAGAGGAGGACATTGCAAAATGAGCAATCTCCTACCCATCATATCCCACACGTGCTCAATTGGGGATAAGTCGGGAGATCTTGGTGGCCATGGTAACAATGTGACATCATTATGTTGAAAGAAGTCTATTGTGACTCTTGCAACATGTGGTCGGGCATTATCTTGTTGGAAAGTTGGATCTGCCAGGGTGTCAAGATAGGGTAAAAGATGGGGTTCTAGAACTTCGTGGATATAACGCTGCGCGTTCATGTTACCTCTGATGAAGATTAAAGGTAACCTGGAACCATAAGCTATAGCACCCCAAACCATAACTCCAACAGTGTGATGAACACGTCTTTCAACAAAAAACTGTGGATTCCTCCTTTCACCACGTCGCCTTCTAACCCTGGCACGACCATCGTGCATGCCTAAACAAAATCGAGACTCGTCACTAAAGACAATACTGTTCCATTCCTGATCCCAGAGTGACCGTTGTCTGCACCACTCAAGGCGATTACGTCGGTGTTCTCGAGTTAAAGGGAGGACCCAGTGTGGCCGGTATGAAAACAAGCCAAAACTTCTCATTCGTCGGTAAACACTTCGCATGCCAATAGGTCTTCCGTGTTCTGCAAACCATTCATTTGCAATGGACCTGGTAGTGGAGAAACGGTCCCTTAAGGCCAATAATCTTAGGCTTCGATCTTCACGGTCTGTTGTTCTACGGCGGCGTCCAGTGCCCCTTGCTCTTTGCGTACAGCCTTCTCGAAGCCATGCCTGACAACACCTAACCACAGTGTCTACACTTCTTTGCACTCTAACTGCAATTGCCTGAAAAGAAAGTCCAGCTTCCCGAAGTCCCACTATACGGCCCCTATCAAACTCACTAAGTTGACGAAATCGTACAGGTCTCCGTACTCTAGGCATCGTAACCGATCGTAAAGGATGTCAAGAACCAAAATCCGCCAACGTTGATTCTTTACTGCGGCTGAAATATTCATTTTTAGAGCGTTAGTGAATTAAAAAAAAGCAGTATAAAAACCGGAATGTCCAACTGATAAGGCTGAAAATTTTTTCACTTGTTATTTACAGTAAGATAAATACATTCACCAACTTTGATTAAAATAAAACCATTTAAACTGGGTGTTCGGATTTATATGTCACTTAGTATATCAAAGTCATTCGATGTTTCAATACCGACATAAAAGATGACGCACCCGGTATTTATTTTTATGGGTCTCCTTTATAGCGTACCTCCGGTTATGAAGTACTCACTTTTTTCTCCCTAGAGGGTACATTATAAGCAGAGTTCACTGTATATTGTTACTTATCCAACCTCAATGAACAGTACCTTTTTGCCTAAAGGTGCTTTTGGCAAGTCATTCACTAAGACATGTAACACCTTCAAAAAAAGATGAAACCTTCTCAAATACTTTTGAATGCTCCTTAAATGTTTGATCAACACATCTTTAAAGTAATCATCATCGGTCAAAAGTTTGATACGGTTTTCATAAGTTTCACTCTCCACCAGCTTCCTAAATGACAAAAGTTGCCTGACATTTTCAAAATCATTGTGAGTGAAATTTTCGACCATTTCTCTTGTTTGTGGCTTACTCAAAGTACACAAAGACATCGCGTTTCCAAAACAGAAATGTTCTGCCATAGCATACTGAAATAAAAAATGAGTCAGTATAGATACAAAAGTTTATAAAATATTTCCTTACCTTAACATTAGTAATGAAATTATTGACTGAAAGATCGTAAAACAAAAACAGATCTATGAACAAATTGAAAATATTACCACCTAAATGAAATGGGAAATTAGTATCAAAAAAAGCATTTTCAAGAACATTGTCTAAGTATACTATTGATGGTTGTGACTTGAATACCCTTATGTTTATTTTGGACATAATTTGGTAAGAGAGTGAGGTATGTAACGTATTCAAAGATGTGGCAATGCCGAAAATAAATACAAACGGTAATACTTTAATGTAACAACTAACAATTAAGATGAATTTTTGGAGGACAGAAGAAGTGAAGCTTTCAAAATCGGGAATTATCACTACTAATGCTTTTTGATGAATATTTGTTCGTTGTTTTTTAGGCGAGGACATAATTTTCTTTTCTCCATAAACATTATTGTACCAACACTGAAGTACAGAAAGATTCATTTGATGTTTTTTTATTGTCCTGTGATCCTCATCCTGAAAATAATATAAATTGTCAAATTCCCCCAGAAATTTGTCCACAACAGTATTACAATTTTGTATTTTATCATCCTAAATTACCAGAATGTGCATTATTATTTAATGCATGGCACACATTGTACTTGTAGACAAATAGGCATATACAGGGTGATTCACAAGTCGTGACCAAAAATGAAATATCATACACAGGACCACATTTTAAGGGGGGTTTTTTATGTAACATTTTTCCCTCGATGGTTCCATTAAAAAGATACGGGGTGTTGAAGTTTAAAAATAAAAAATAATTTTTTTTAATATCTGCAGATACAGGGGATTAGTGGTATTATTTTTCCAAATAAAAATAGTACGCCACTGTTTTCTTTCGAAACGCGCATTTTTCGAATTTTACCTTCAATCTGCTACAAATAATTACTACTACTATTTTTTCCTAGAGTGCACTGTTTTCGTAAAAATAAATTTAAAACAAATTAGACCATTAATGAAGAGCCCTGATACAATTACAGTATATTCAGATAAGAGATAGACCGGATGTAAACAAAAGGTTCGGGTGATTTTCACGCTAACGCCGCCGTCTCGACGTAAAACAGGAGCCCTCATTGGTCAATTCGCAATTAAATGCCTATGCCGAGCTGCAGAGCAGTCGTATCAAGGCAGAGTCACATTCAGGTTCAGACGTGTTACGTATGTCGTGTGCATCATTGCAATTTGATATTTCTTTGGACGTTTTCGTTTGTTATCTTATTAAGTTGTTGAGTTTGTCGTTGTTATTGTTATACCTTGTTATTGATTGTTATTGTTATCAACTGCTTGCGCAAAATGCCCAGTAGTACAGATACTGCCGATGAAGTTGTAAACTCCTGTAGTCCACCTAGGAAACGCTCTAAAAAAAGACACCTGAGTGCAGAAATGAAAGAGGTCATTTTGAATATATATAAGATCGAGCGCGAGGAGAACGAGGCATCAACCATCAAAGAAATTGTTGTGAAGGTTTCTCACAAAGTTGGGGTGTGTCGCGCATCAGTGTTTAATGTGTTAAGCCAATGACCAGTAAACATCGCAAAAGTATTGTTAAATCATTGGATGAAGCTGATAAGCATGCGATTAGGAGGAAAGTGCATGAATTCTTCTTTAGGAATGAAATACCTACTATAGATAAAGTACTGCAGGAGGTAAATGGAGATACAACGTTGCCAAATTTCAAACGATCAATTTTCCATGCGTTACTGAAGCATTTAAATTTCAAATGGAAAAAACGGGGTCGTAATAGTTTACTACTGGATAGAGAAGAAATTGTGCTATGAAGGAGGGATTATTTAACAAAAATTGGGAAATATAGAAATCAAAACAGGAAGATTTATTACCTTGATGAAACGTGGGTAAACGCAGGACACACTACAAGTAAAGTATGGGTTGATGATTCTATAACTTCATCCAGGAGGGCCTTTCTAGATGGACTGTCCACCGGATTAAAAAATCCAGCAGGTAAATACGAGTAATAGACAACAATCGGATGTTTTTCAAACCTTGGGAACAAGGTTCTAAACATTAATTCCAGGGGGCAGATAAAACATATTACAAGTAACAAAACTTTTATAACTTTCGATAAAATGCGTGGATGTTTTATTGTCATTTTCATTTGTTAGAACTTTTTTAAGCCATGTTTTTATGTGTTTTCGATATTTCAATAATTTTTTAATATAATCTTAAAATATGTCGAATATTATAAACTTAAAAAAAGTTACTAAGTTTTATATTGTGTACCGTTCCTAATATTTCTAATCATTTTAATTCATACTTTAAGCTTTATAAAGTTATAATTTGTTAATATTAATATTTGCGCGTATTTCAGGTTCCTGATCATTCATTTTTTAAAGGTTTATAACTTTAAATTAAATTGTGAAGCGCTGAGTAATCATACGACGTTCAATATTCTTTCTTTCAATATGACTAAATAATCCCAATTATAGCAATCTGATACTCATGTCTCAATGTTTTTTCGCTGAATGTGTTGAAAACATTTGAAAAAGGTTTGCTTATTGAAATAAATCTACACCAGTTAGTACTTCGATTTCCAGGTAAAGGGAAAAGGCTCATTATCTGCTATATTGGCAGTGAGGATGGATTTGTTGTTGACGGTCTGTGGTGCTTTGAATCTAAGAAAACTGGAGATTACCACGAGGAAATGAATGGCGAATCGTTTGAACAGTGGTTTTCAAAAATTTTACCGAACTTAGAGGAAAACGCAGTAATTGTGTTGGATAATGCGCCTTATCATTCTCGAAGAATGGAGAAGGTCCCAACAACGGCTTCAAGGAAAGTTGATGTTCAAAATTGGCTCCGCTCGAAAAATATCAACTTTGAAGAAGCAATGCTGAAAGTACAATTATTAAGAATTGTCAAGGATCACAAGGCGGAATATCAAAAATACGCCATTGACGAAATGGCAGCAAGTCAAAATAAAACTGTGCTCCGTTTACCTCCATACCATTGCGAGCTCAATCCCATTGAGCTCATATGGGCAGAGGTTAAAAATTATATAGCTAAGCACAATACAACTTTTAAATTTTGTGACCTCAAAGGACTTTTCAAAGAAGCACTAGAATTAATAACAGCGCAAAAATGGGAAAACTGTATTAAGCACGTGAAAGACAAAGTTGAAAAGAGAATGTGGGAACTGGACAATATTTTAGAGGAACAAGTCGAGCCATTCATTATTGACGTTGGTGCTTCAGGCAGTATGATGAAAGCTCATCAAGCTCATCTTTCCAATAAAAGATGTCGTTCATCAAATTCGGTAAGTTATAAGTAATTATAAAGCTACTGTATTTTTTAATTAATTATTGACATTTTTGAACCCATTTTGGCAAAACCTATTCAAGAATCTACTTTCTGACAATGTTCAACCATGCACATTTTTTTACGTTTTGAACGTTTTAATTTGGTTACATATTTACCTAGAAATCAAAAAATATACTAATCAATATTCTAAAAGCAATTTTAAGAGATATACGATTATTTTTAATTTAGGCTAATTTAAACGCCATTTTGAGATTATATTCGACTGTATTTCACCAAACATCAGGCGGCATCCGAAGCTGGAAATCGAAGCGAAAATTTTGAAACCCTTATGTATATTTACATCATTATATATTTCTTACCCCACCCCCACATGATCCTGTATCCATCACCAATCGTATACACATCGAATTGTGCTAATTTACTACAAAGTTACGCAAAGCAGCATCTACTATCTAAAATATGTACTGCGTGACTCTTAATACGTCCCTGCCGAATGTTACAGCGTTCGATGATCACGTGGTCTTGTTTATGTCCGGTCTATCTCTTATCTGAATATACTGTAGTTTCAAAATAAAATAGGAGGCCTTGATACCAACTTGACGTTTGTTGGGAGAGTGTGTCAAAGTTATGTGTTTATACCGTTGTTATCGTTACTACTACCATTTTTTTTTGAAAAGTCAAGTCAAAAGTCTCTTTTTTCCATTTTTGAGTGTGGTGAAATGGAATTTAGCAGTGATGAGTACGTCGATATTATTTTTGTATACGGGTTCTGAAACGGCAAATGCTTAAGCGGCTTCTCGGGAGTATCAACGTAGATTTCCTAACAGACGCCAACCAATATGGAATTCCCATACTTCCCGGAGTTAGAGGCCATGGTGTCTGTTCATGAGGAACTGGAAGTGATTAGTTTGTCGTTGGATGATCCTAGTACAAGTACTAGGCGGATTGCAGCCCAGTTACCACGTTCCCAAAGTCTTGCGTGGAGAATTTTAAATCGGGAAGTTTTACATCCTTACCATCGGCAAAATGTGCAATGTCTGCAATCCGGCGACGAAGTGCAACGGCGAACTTTTCTTTGTGAGTGGTTACTGCAAATGCATAATCAAAATGCAAATTTTATTGATTTGGTTTTGTGGTCAGATGAATCGCTTTTTATGAGAAGTGGAGAGTCGTTAGAAAATCCCCGTTCTCTAAGAATCCACTCGTTTCAACACAGATTTTCTAGAAATGTCTGGTGCAGCATTTTCAATGGCCAACTGTTTATGCACGTATTGCGATAATGTTTAAATGCAAAGTTATACTTAGCTTTTCTAAAGAATTACATAGAAAATGTGTTGGATGATGTTGCGCATGGTTAAATAATAATTTTAGACAATGATGGATTGGCAGAAACGGACCCGTACATTGGCTTGCAAGGTCTCCTGATTTGAACCTCCTGGATTTCTTTTGGTACGGAGCTTTCAGACAACTAGTGTATGCTGAACAAATCAATACTGTTGATTAGTTACAAGAAAGAATAGATGATGCATTTTATCAAATTTGATCCACAACAAAGTTTGCGGATATACGTTTTTCTTTATTAAAAGATGTCGCACTTGTATCCGACAGAATGGTGGTCTTTTTGAACATTTACTGAAGTAAAGTTTTAGTTATCTATTTTTTTTATTTTTAAGAAAACAATGCACTCTAGAAAAAAAAGAATTATTCGAAAAAAAATGTGGCATACTATTTTTATTTGGAAAAATAATGCCACTAATCCTCTGTATCTCGGCCACTGGTGCATCTTAATTTTGAGTAAAGACTTTTGAATGTGGACAATACTTTGGTTAATTCACATACCAAATTTTAGTTCATTCCTGTTGATGCTTTTAAAGATATTAAAAAATTTGAGTTTTATTTTTAAACTTCAACACCCAGTATCTTTTTAATGAAGCCCTTGAGGAAAAAATGTTACATAGAAGACACCCCTTGAAATGCGGTCCTGTGAATGATATTTCGTTTTTGGTCATGACTTGTGAATCACCCTGTATAAAATGACAAGTTAATTAATATAGTAACTATAAACAGATGCCCAACTTTTTTATGTAGTCAATCAACTTAGACATTACCTAGGTAAGTCCTATAATATTATGAAAAAATTATTTTGTTTTTACCTCATCATCTATTGTTTCACCTTCAGAATTCATCAATTTATTGATCATATTTTCAATCATATTTTTTATATTGACACAATCCTGACTATAAAGGCATGCAACATGCGGTGTTTCATTCTGCTGTATTTTGTTAATCAGTGTTGAGAACTGAGCAGCATGGTCTGGCATATTGATGCCAGTCAAGAGCGCTGCTGTTGGGATTTCTTCAACAGCACTTTTACGACTACTGCCTACAAACTGTACTAGCTCAGAAAGTACCGACGAAAACATGTTGTCATTTAGTTCCTAAAAAAAATTACAGCGATTGTGATTTTAAGAAGCAATCCTTGGCTATTTGCCTTACCATAATGTTTTCTTCTAAAATATTCTTTAGGTTTGCATATTGCTGATACCATAGATTCGAGGCAAAAATCTCATTGTCGTCTGTTGTTTTATTGGTTGTGAAGGTACGTTTTCTTCTACCACGATTATTAGACCTTTTAATATTGTTGTTAAAGATGAATACACCCTGAAAAAAAGTATTTTGGTATATCGAACATAGCATGTTTGCGGTTGGATTTACCTTTGAAACCGAAATAGTATCTTCATCCATAGCTCAAAATATGGGCACTTAGAATGGAAATTTAAATTTCATTCAAAAATTACATGAAAATAATTTGTTTTTGTATCTTTTTACCAGTCCAGTCCTTGAACCTCCTATTTTCCCGCCAACTGATTAATTTGACATTGGCGTGACTGTCAAAGCTATGGTTCTGATTTGATAGTATTCAAGGTGGAATAGAGGCGTGAGTCAGCTTCACAGTATGCCACGCCCAAGACACTGGAATTAGGACGGTAAACCTCATATAGTGAGGAGTAAAGCCAAGAATGCGCACAGATTCTAGTTCTCTTAATTTTCTGCTCTTGACAATCCTCCGTTCTCCGTTATGTAGAGAAGAAAGGTATATTCGGTTGATTCCATCACTGATGGTGAATCCGGTGAACTCATGGTTGACAGCGATGTGATGACGTCAACAACCGGTTCCGTTGAATGATCGTTAATAAAAAGACGCATTTTTAGCCATACAAGAATAAAAACAGAACAAAATCAGAAAATCGTCATTTTCGGACTTACGAGGAATTGATTTGAGATCGTCGATATGCATAATTCAAAACAAACTGACTTGCTTTCAGATGCTGTTTATTTCAAATTGTGTTGAAAAAAAACATTAAATTTCACGCGACTCCTATGCTGCTAACTTCAATCTTTTCTTCTTCCATTTTTTCACACAAAACTGTAGTTGTCAAAAACTGATAAAATGTAGAGGTGGATGCTGTTGGCACCGGTGGCATATCCACCATCAATATAGAGACAAGTTTGATGTACAACCGGTCGTTCCAGCGGAAATTAAAGAATTAAAGGACGCAAACTTAGCTAACCGGTTGCACCGGTAGCTCAACCGGTGAATTAAAGAATATACCTGAAGCTCCACATTTCCGAACCACCAGTGTATATGTTTTGTGGTCTCGAGTAGGATGTTCGAATTCCACCAAATTAATATTCTCACCAAGTACAAATACCTTAGCTCATGTTTAAGCACTTGCTTTATATAAATAAGTCCAATTATTTATATAAGCCCTTCAGCAATCGATCAAGCTTAAAGCAATAGTTGTGGGGAGGATACAATCGGAAACATAAAATTTTCTAAAAAGATAAAATCTATAGCCACAGTCCACCCTATTTCACGAGTATCCATCACTCTTTGACGTCTACTGAGGTAGGTGAATAGCTGATCAGCCAGTGACATTTTTGTGTTAGTCTGCAACGTTGGCAATAATGAATCGGGTGTAAGTCAGTCTCCGTATTGCCGGCAAACACAGTTGCAGTTTGATTATTACAACGTTTGACTAAGCATTTCAGTGATTCCCTGTAATGACTGAACAATTTCAGTCAAACACCATAACAACCGCATTAACTTCGGTACTGCATTTGCCTATTTTAGTCAAACGCTGTAATCAATACAGTGTTGCTCCAATGAAGTACATAACATAACAAGGTACTACTATATCAATAATATTAAAAGAAAAATAATCAAGCATGCCTTAATCCAAAAGGAAAGAAGAATAGATTAAAACGTCTTTATTATTACATTATTGTGGACATTAATCATTAATGTATTAAATCAACAAGAAATACCCTGAAACCATCGAAAGAAATATAAAACAATAAATACACATTAAAAAAAAACAAAATGCAAAACTGCGAGTACTGACAAACGAATGAGTTATGAAATATATATATACACCTTGGGAAAAAACATTATTATACATTATGATGAGGAAGAGAGATGGAAATATACAAAAGTATGTAGGTGCGTGAAAGACACTCGATTGTAGGATCCTATCTGGCAGCGTCGGAGTGTGACGGACAACGGGGTAAAGTAGAAGAGTGATAAAAGAGAGATGGCAGAATGGGCGCTGGCGCCTGCCGCTTAGACGGATGCGCTCAACAAATGCGATTTGTTTCTCCCATTCGCAGAGTTCCCGATACCAATATGTCATATTTCTAAGAAATCTAAGTCTACCCAAATTTCGGGAAAAATAGCTGCGGATTCCACATAAGAGTATTCCAAAAATGAAAAAAGTTCAAACTATTAAAATTGTATTAATGTTTCATGGTTCAAATCATATTTTTCATGTTTGTATATTGTTGTATAAATGATTTTGTAATCCCTATTCTTGTTGCCAGTAGAGATACAACAGTATTGAGAGAAATCATGGACCGCTAGATAGGGCTACAACTACCATATGGCTATCAAATAGTAGTGATAAACAGGGTTTATTTATAGCACAGTTGCCTGGTGTGGCGAATTTGCGCCATAGGGGCGATTTGACAACTTTGAAGGACAACTATAACGGGTACTATGGTGCCCGGTATTCGGGAATCTGGCAATACCTGATGATTCCTAACGTTTATTACGCCAGATTGTTTGCTGACTTGCCCAGTACAACATGACAATCAACGTGACTGAGCACCTGGTAACCCTGGTTTAAGGTGTTATATTTAAAAAGCTTGGGGCAGTTAGGTATCTAGGTCACATTTTTTAATGTATTTCGAGAAATCCGTAATGTTGAGTAAATACTAGATCACGTTTCTTGCTTAGTTTGCTGAAAATTCTACAATAGACGTACATTTTGAGAAACAGAGATTTGGTGACGACAAAATCGTAAAAATATAACGCATTTTCGTAAAATAATTTCTTTGTTGAAAAGACTGTGGCTTGATGACCCATTGAACGAGGATAGTGTCCCGCTCCGCTTTGAATATTCGAAACACTATACTCCAGCAGCATTCAGCTTCAATGTTATCTTTATGAAGTTCTAGCGTCTAGGCCATGCTGATTAACGAACTCTCAAGAGGTTAGAAGGCTGTATTTGCCCGAGCGCTTCAACGATTTTCACCTGTAGGTTATGCAAATTGTCTGCTCTCTCATTGAAAGTGTAAACAGTACTTTTCACATAACCCCACAAGAAAAAATCATTGGGCGTTAGATCGGGTGATCTAGGAGGCCATTTTATTGTTCCGTTACCGCCAATAATCCGGTGGCCGAACACACTTTCAAGGTAAGTGTGTACGATCGCCGCATTATGCACCGGGCATCCATCTTGTTGGAACCAAATATTAGCGAGATCAATGCCAAGCTGCCTAATTGCAGGAACAATCTGCGTCTGTAGTAACGTCAAATATTTTGCAGCCGTAAGAGTTCCATCAATAAAGAACGGTCCGATAATGTTATTACCTAGAATTCCTGCCCACACATTCAGTTTCTGTGGATACCGAACGACTGAAGGATTGTGATGACCGTGGAGAGGGAATGTGGATTCATCAGTAAACAAACTGTTACCAATAAAACTTCCATCCCTGTTCGCCTTCTCCATGACCGTTTCACAAAACTCTATTCGACGGTATTTGTCTAAAGGAAATATTTCTTGAACCGTTCCAACCTAGAAGCTATGATAGCCGTTGCGATGCAAAATATTTCTTGTTGTTCTGGGTGTGAGATCGGCTATTGGTACCATTTCAGCAATTTTTCTGATTGAGCATGGCTCAGATACTTCTGCAGCGGCACAAACAACAGTTTCGATCTCCTCCCTTTTCTCGCTAATTTTTGGTTTCCAACCTTAAGGGTGCATGCAGCTATGGCACTTATGTAAGCAGCCTACCCTCTTGAATTTTTCGTAGGTATTTATAACCGTTGCGTGAGACGGAATTGGCCGATCTGGGAAGCGTACCGCAAATAATTCAACAACCGCGCGTGCTGAATTATTCTGGATGTACCATTCTATCATTTGAAACTTTTCTTCTTGCGAGTACATTTTTAAGATATTTTGGATTAAATAAAGACGCACCTTTCCTACACAAAACCCAACCGCAGAGTGAGTCATGAATACCTTATCTCACTTGACAACGGCACGCGCGTTAACGGTAGGAAATATGTACGAATAGCGATGAAAGTAGACGAGCCGATGCGCTGTTGCCAAGAAATGATTTCCCATGTATAACAATGGTTTTTCCTAAGGTGTATATATATATATATACATATATATAACAGCTCCTGAATACGGTACCGAAATTCATTATTGCCAACGTTATCAATTAACACAAAGATGTCTCTTTTGTGATTAGCTGTTCATCATGGATACTCGTGAAATAAGGTGTCTTTGACATGGCTGTCAGTTATCTATACCCAATTTCACGTGTATCCATCTCGCTTTGACGTCTACTGAGCTGATCAGCAAGTGATATTTTTGTGTTAGTCTGCAACGTTGGCAATAATGGATCGGGTATAAATCTAGTACACCTTGTTTGTGGAGTTTTGTTTTTTGTATGCAAATAAACTTTTCTAAATGAAAGAGCTGTTAGCTAGTACAAAATGAGTCCGTAGCCTACAAAAAAAAACTCATCTCTGTCTACCTGGTGTTGACGGATCCGTCAGAATTATGTGTCCTGGGCGGATATGGGGAGATATTACTAGATAATCAGCCGTCATTCTACCTTGATGGATACTCGTGAAATAGGGTATAGACAGACTCTCCTGTACAAAGCATAGCAAAACGCGATTTTAAATACTGAATTAATCAGCATTAGCCAGTATTTACTTACGTACAAAAAGTCATGTACACTTTATGAATGAATATTTGAAATAAACTTTGACAAAAACTCCTTATTGATATTCAAACAGATTTCAAATAAACTGTAAAAAACTGATACTTCTGCTGCAACTTCTCTGATTTTTTTTCTTTCGTAATTTTCTTCAATCCCCGTTGCTCTTGTTTCTTTTCCCGGTCTTTTTTGCGTTTCATAATTTTCTGACATGGTTTGCATAAATGGCTTCCAGACTTTAGTACTGGTATGTAAAAGCCATTCTCACAAGAAGTATTGGCACAAACTCGAAGACACGATATTTTATTTAAGTGATCCATAACATCGTGGAAGCTCAATATACTTTCCAGTATTGGAAAGTTTGCTTTACGTCCATTAACAAAAGCCTGCAAGTTAATGAATTATTAGTACCAGACTGTACACAACATTACTTATTGCATGTATGACATAAAAAATGTATACAAGGTGTTTTCTAATTAAATCTCAAGATTTAAGGTGGCAATTTTTGGGTCTATTTTAAATGAAAAACTTCTAATATTCTCAGTTAGTTAAGATGTGTAGGACATACAGTCACATACATATGAACTTCTCTTCTTAAAATGAACCCAACACTTGCCCCTTGAATACAGATATGCAATTAGGAAACCGTGTATGTCAAAATAAAACACATTACAAATGAAGACAAATTTATAAAAATGAAGATATACAGTGGACCTCCGGTAATCCGACAAACATTATGCAGGGCAGTGTCGGACTATCGAATTTGTTGGATTATAGAGCACTGCCTAAGACCCCCTATAATCTGGAATTTTTTACAAAAGGGTACCTTGTAATCCGACAAATTACATATCCAATGGTAAGATTATATATGTTATGTATATGTATGTACTTTGAAGTACAAATCATACATAGTGTATGTATGTCGAATTTAGTATAAATTAAATAACAATAGAGAGCTTACGTTTTATTATAAAATTAAGCATAAATGCATATACATATGTACCAAAATGATCAAGAATTATTAATCAAAATCATTAATGAATTTATCAAATTATGAAGCTTGGAGATATTGATCATTTTTTTTTGTTTAAGGTTGTTCGTTGTAGGATGTACCATTCTCTTCAGCCCATTGTAAACCTAGCTCAAACGCGTTAATTGCGTCTTGTGCTGTGACTTGTGGAGCAGTTGCAGTCACGTCATCGTTATTTTCCTGATTGTTTGTTGTATAATTAGAAACCTGTTTTATAATATCTTCGTCAGACATTTCATGAAAAACATTTTCCTCTTTATCTATTCCACGGTACCAGATTTCCAAATCTTCCGGACTTGTCTGTGTTTCAGCAGCGACTTGTTCTATAACTTCTGAAGTTACTCTGATTTGTGGAACGTTGCTAGGGGTGGTGACTATATCTGGCCATAACTTTTTCCAAGAGGATTTAATAGTTGACCAAGTCTTTCATTTTAAATTCTTTTAAAATTATGATCTTTTAACCATTTTCTAACTTCAGGTACGAAGCATTCATCAAACCACTTTTTGAAAAGGTTTTTTGTCATCCATGCACTTTTTTGTCCGTAATAGTGTACAGGTAAATCAGTGTTTTTGAATGCCCGTGGTTTATTAGATTTCCCAATGACTATCATCTTAAGCGCGTGTGTGCCCGCAGCGTTAGCACATGGTAGTATGGTTACACGCTCTTTACTCACTTTTCGTCCAGGTACGGATTTGTCGTTACAAGAAACGAAAGTTTTGTTAGGCATCACACGCCAAAAAAGCCCTGATTCGTCTGCATTGTACAGCTGTGACGGGTCAAGATTTAAATCGCTCACCTTTTGCAAAAATCTTAATTTAAAGGGCTCTATGCAGGTGGCATCGTTAGAAAGTTTCTCTCTTGTAATAGTCATTAAACGTATGCCATGACGACTTTTAAAACATTCTAGCCATCCTTTGCTGGCCACAAAATCATGTTTTTTTGTTATTCTTTATAAAGAAACTTAGCTTTCATGGCCAACATGGGTCCTGAAATTGGTGCATGCCTATTTCTTTCCTGAAGAAACCACATGTACAAAGCTTCTTCCACTTCTGGATGTTCAGCTTTCTTGAGTGTCTGTCTCTTGCCTGGCCCGCAGTCAGTAGTTGACACGAACTTCTTGATCTTCTCGTGGTTTCTTTTAATGTCATAAATTGTAGATCGGCCTACGCCGTATTCACTTGTTAAACTACTGAAAGTTTCATTGCAATTTAAGCGGTCTAAAATATCACATTTTTCTTTAATTGTCAATGTTTTGTGCTTTCGCTTCTGAGTTTGTGATGACATTACCAGGTACTATACTTAATACACAATGAATAATTAGTAAACAATGAACGCACGCTAGGCAGTACCGCTATCACCAGTAGTCAAATTAAGTAAAACGCGTCGAGCACGATAGCGGTGGCGCGTACAAGTTGTAACCTGTTCAAACCTGCGTGATCTACATTAGCGAAGATTGACAAATTCGTATGTATGTAATACATATTCAAAGACATGTCGGATTACAGGGGGCGCCGGATAAGACAAGGGCCGGATTATCGGGGGTCCACTGTAATAATAATTATAGGAAAATGATAGAGGGTTATAAGAAAAAAGTCAAGGATAAACGTAAAAAAAATACTTCAATATGAGTTTTTCATGCAGATAATTTAGTGCAAAAAGTGTTTCCTTGAGCACACATAGAGCTTGGTACTAATACTCACTTCTACAGACATGTCTTTTTTGACAAGTAAAGAACGAGTTACATTAGGAACCTCTTCATCACTCTTATCAATATAACTGAAACATATCCCCTGACTTGCGTCTGTCATCCCCCATTTTGTTCTACCACCATAATTTTTTTTCCAGTCAGTTGCTAAATGTGTGATAGAATATTCTTCAAGGAAATCTCCATTTCCAATAATTTCTGCATCACATGGTAGTATTAACAAGTTATCTTCTTCGCCGAAATCGAGTCGTTTTGCAATAACATTTGCTACTTGTTTTTTTCTAGCAGTTTTTGTACATGTGGTTTCAATATCTGTAGATGCTTCCCCACAGTTAGTGCTGTTTTGCAAATGTTTGCTTATTGATGAGGGTATACTTTTCTGAAATGAGAGAATGAGAGACATTTTTTAGATTATCAATCAGTGCAACAAAACATATGTATAAAAAACCTCACATATGGAAATATTGAAGGAATCGAGCCAGGTTTCAACCGAAGCCGTTTTCTTGTGAGGGGTATTTCTGTTCCATCCTTCATGATTTTTGGTGGCTCAGCAAAAAAACAATTAGCTTCGAAATGATCCTTACAAATGTATCTGACTCTTTGATTCGATCGCCCTTTCCGCAAATTGATACCAACTGCTTGCTCCCAATTGAAAAGTTCTTGTGGATCCTAGTTATAGATATAAAATAGGTTTGGTAAGAATACTACAACTAAAACAATTATAACAATATTTTGAAAATTAAATACTAAACAAGTTTTTTTGACAAAAATTCTGAGTATGAGTCTTGATCAAAATATGTAAAATATTTCTACTTCAGACCAAGACTAGGTCCAATTTTGCCTAAAATAAGTTTATTATATTAAGTTCATGATAATTAGACTTTTCATTTGCTACCTGCTGCATCCACTTACATTTAATAATAAGGAAATTACATGTTTATAAATTATGTTGAGTTGCAATACTCGCCAAATGTTTCAATTGCAATTATCAGATATAGATATATACAGTAATGGACAAAAGTATATAGACAAGTATGAGTATTTATCTAAATACCTTTAAAAAATGAATTCATACTTCATTGATCCATAAACAAATGCTTATTAGTAGAAAAACTAAATTCGTTGTTTTTACATTATCTGCAATAAAAACAATACAAGTTTAAATATAAGCACTTTTTATGAGGGGCAAAAATATGTAGACAAATTGTTTTCAACATTAGTTAGTACAGTTTCGTGTCGGAAGAGGATTAGTTTGTGTTCATCAAGTATTATGGAATAAGTTGAGTGATTTTAAGACCATGCCACATGGTCCAGAAATTTCTTTCCATGTGAAAACTAAGATCATTTAGATATACAAAAATTTGAAGCTGAAACCTAAGGCAGTTTGGGCAAAGTTGAACAAATATAAACAAAAAGCCTCTAAGAGAAGTGGTCGGCCTAGAAAACTAAATGCTAGATGAGTTAGATTAATAAAAGTAATTTCGTCCAACGATCCGTTTAAAACCCCAAGACAAATAAAAGCCGAAATCAAGACAAAAGGAATTATCAGTGATTCTACGAAAACTATAAGTAGAAGATTAAATGATTTGAAGTTATTTGCACGTCGCCCAAGTAAGAAGCCGCTAATCTCGAGGAAAAACCGTAAGGACCGATTACAATTTGCACAGTTGCATCTTGATTTGAGTATCTGTGACTGGAAGAGGGTATGTTTAAGTGACGAATCCAAGTTCAGTATGTTTGGATCATTACGTTGGACATCCTAGTGGACAAAGATTGAACCCTGTACACTTTGCCCACTGTCAAATATGGAGGCGGGTCTGTTATGGTTTGGGGGTGCTTTTCGGGGTTTGGGATGGGAGCTTTACATAGAATAGATGGCATTATGGAAAGTTTGTATACACAGACATACTAAAGAATGTCATGTTACCCTATATGGAAGACAATATGCTCTTAAGATCAATCTTCCAGCAAGATAATGACCCGAAGCACACTTCAAATCTCGCAAAGAAATTCTTTCTGGATGAAAAAATACCAGTTCTCAAATGGCCTTCACAGTCTCCCATTAAAAACCCCATTGAAAATGTATGGGAATAATTAGATAAGCAAATTTGAGATAAAAATTATTCAAGCAAGGATGAACTTTTCGCCGCTTTAGAGCAAAAGTGGAGACACATTGATGAATCTTACATCAAGAAACTTCTACAATCTATGTCGAGATGATGCCAGGCGATGATTGATAATAATGGTTATGCTACAAAATATTAACACAAACATGGTTGGTTTCCTATAATTCAATAAACTTTGCTTCTGTTTTCTATAATTGTTTTGCTTTGTCTATATATTTTTGTCCTTCATAGCTCCAGTTTTTTCACTTAATTTTTTATTGAAGGGAGTCTAATGAATTTATTTATGTATAAGCGAGTATTATGCTATAACGAAGTATGTATACAGGTTGGCGTATTAATAAAACAAGTTAAAAAAGAAATACAGCACAATATTAATTTGTCTATATACTTTTGTCCATTACTGTATGTCTACCTGAGAGCCAGACTAGGTAAAGTTCAAATAAGTAGTTTTAAGACAATTGCATGTGAAATATGCTTCTTGTATTGGTGGGACTTATGATTTATAAAATCATTAAACATTATTAAAGTTACATAGACTCTGCATGTTAAGCGTTACCATCACCCAAACATTAAACTTTGTATATAAAATCCATTTTTGGTATAAATGGGCCGAACCTCTAGTTTTGAAGTACAAATATTAATACTCACTGATGGAAATTTAAATAAACCATTTTTTTCACGGCAATGCAACACAGTGCAGATTCGCGACATGCTTGTCGGTTTGATCATAAACTATGAAACGTATGGCACAAGACTGGTTTGGTTTTACCAATTTATTTATCACACTTTATTACGTTACAACGGTTTACTTTTATTAATGATACCTCACTCAAAATCAACAAAATATTATTGTTGTGGTTATAATTACTGTCAATAATCAAATTCAAGCGCATAACCAAATGAAAATGGTATTTACCATTTTGGGTTGGTATTTACCGATCCGTTCAAGCGAGTGTGGTTATCAGTTTGGTTATATGATCCGTGACGTCATGAATCAGCTGTTATATGTCATAGTTATCACCGCAAAATTGTGGTATTTACCCAACTCAGGAGTAGTTTTATATTTCTGGTTATTATTTGAAATGTGACAAGTTAGAATTTTACCGGGTATTGGATATTGTTATTGTACTTCAGCTTCATTTTTGGGAAACTTGATACAGGCTGACTTCAGTGTTACCATAAAGTGGAGCACTTTATTAGTTATACTCATTACTGTTGTTGGGGACACTTTAAATGTAATTCCTATGCTTAACAAAGTATCCTGTGTCATGCCATATACCACAAGAATACTAAAATATGGCCATATAAACTCACTAGATGATGTCCACCTGTATACGGTTTTGCTTATATCTTTTTTCATCGCTTTTTCATCATTTCTGCTGAATCAATAAATGTTTTCTTTGACATGCGGAAAACTTTAGAGAACTGAAAGTTGTCATAGCTACAAAGCCATGGTTCCATCATGCAAAAAAAAATTTCTGAAAAGAAATACACTTCTCCCATGAATTATATGAAATGTGTCTTTTTAAACTTTCCATACACCGTTGTACACGAAAAAGCACCGATTATTAAGTGATGATAAAAATAATCAGAAATTATATACGGGCTTTTCTAAAATAAACAACTTGCAACAAAACCGCGGTTAAAACCAACGCGTTCAAGTGATTCGAGCAACTGACGTCATCAATCCGTGTGTCATCTTGAACCATATTATAACCGCAGTACATAACACAGAAATTTTGGTTATTCGCTTGGATTTGATTAATGTGTATTCCTTTCCGAGAGCCACGCCTTTCTAGGCTATATTAGGCTTCATAGGAATATATATAGGCAGTTCTGGCATACGCCCCTTTTCCAAATTAACCATAGTCTAAGAACAGAAAAGGAAACTCTTTTATGTTGAAATGACAAGTGTCTTATCGACAATCGTGATACCTCGACGACGATAAAAAAACACAAACATAAAAAAACGTTGTGATACCTTTACTGAGAATTGGGCTGAAAAGCCGAAAATTGGAAATAAAACTTAGCGCGACATCTATCGCTGGAAAGGTTAGTCAATACAGCACTCACAGCAAATTTTCCCCTTCTAGATTCCTATACCACGAAATTGCTTAGCTTCAGCTAAAGTCAGAGATAAACCCTTCTAGAGATGGGAAACTCCAATACTAAAATAAGTTACCGTATTTTTGCGACCTCTGGTGGATTGGCCGCACACCAGTGCTGAATAATGGGCCTTTCCATCTTAATAGGACAAACCTAATGGGGCTTTTTACATTCTGTTAATAATAAATCGTCTTACGTAACAAAAACACTCCAAATGGGTTAATTTCCACTTTCTTAGTCATTAATACATGACGCGCATTTCGACACACAGTGTCTTTCTCCAATGCTGGGATGAGTCGCGCGTCACGTATTAATGACTAATATAGCAGAAATTAAACCATTCGGAGTGTTTTTATTACGTAAAATGGCTTGTGGAAAATCTTTCCAGGGGATGCGAAGGGAAGAATTAAAATTCAAGAAATAATTATAGTCATTTTATGGTCAATCATTCATATACAAATTATATCACCTTTTCTCACAAAGCTAAATATAATAATAATAATGTCTTTAGAAATCCATCCACACTGCGAGGCGAAGTTTATCCAGCTGGCTACTCTACCACTTAACCTCACATACAAAAAAAAGATATAACAATGAATAGCAATCGACTAACTAATATATACATAGTCATGCCATAAGTTCTGTCCCTCGTTTTCAAACAAGTGTAGACCTGTTAATACTTGTCCGATTGTTTACATTGTGGTGTCAGTTGATTAAGCGCTTTTCGGGTAATTACATATACCTCAGTTTGTATTGATCTCTCGAAGCATAACGATGGAGTGGGGCAAGGCAGAGAACCGTATTGCAGTGATAGCTTTACATAAGTGTAATCACAGTGCTAGTCAGATTTTTGAACTCTTACGCGGCCTTCAAATATCGCGTAAATTTGTGTCTAGGACCATTCAGCGGTACAATGAGACGTCCTCTGTTGATGACAGGCCAAGAAGCGGAAGACCTCGTCAAGTAAGGACTCCAGCAGCCATCAAAGCCGTAAAAGCCAGGATTCAAAGGAATCCACTCCGGAAGCAGAAGATCCTATCCAGGGAAATGAAGATTCCTGTCCGGACGATGTCGCGCATCATTAAACAAGACCTAGGGCTAGGGGCTTACCGGAGACGTACGGGCCAGCGACTTACGGCCACCTTGCGACACATCAGGGCGACAAGATCCAAGAAGCTCTTGGAGAGGTACGCAGCTGGGGGATTCCGAAAGATTTTGTTCACGGATGAGAAAATCTTCACCATAGAAGAAAAATTCAACCGACAAAATGACAAAGTGTATGCAAGGAGTTCACAGGAAGCTTCGGAGATCATTCCGAGAGTTGAGAGAGGCCACCACCCTGCGTCAGTCATGGTTTGGTGGGGGGTGTCCTACGAAGGGGTCACTCAGCTCCATTTCTGTAAACAGGGCGTGAAAACAAAAGCGGCAAACTATCAGAGCGACATACTGGATCCTATCGTCAAGCCTTTAAGTGGTACATTGTTTGCCAACCAACACTGGGTCTACCAGCAGGATTCCGCCCCCGCTCACAAGGCTAAGAGTACGCAGCGCTGGCTGGAAAGCAATGTGCCAGAGTTCATTGCTGCGGAAGATTGGCCCTCAGGGAGTCCGGACCTCAATCCTTTAGACTACAAGTTGTGGGACCTGCTAGAGCAGTTGGCCTGCTCCAAAGCCCACCGTAATATCGAGTCCCTGAAAGCGGATTTGATCCGATCAGCGGCAGCTATTCCTTTGGAAGCTGTGCGTGCAGTGATAGATGAGTGGCCCGCGAGATTGAAGCAGTGTGTGAAGGCCAAGGGGGGACATTTTGAATAAAACTGTTTGATTATGAATTCTAAAAATGTTGTCGAATAAATAATATCTTTCATATAAATATATCTTATCTTGTTTCATTTTTATCATGAGATTATCATGGGACAGAACTTATGGCACGACTATGTACAATAATTAAGGCTTAAATAGAGTAATCTTAAGATGTTATACATCAATACTACATGGCCCGCTCTAACAAAAAAAAAAAAAAAGAAATATATCAGCTAGCTTGGCTAGCAGACCCCAGACGATGGTTCTTAATGGCTCTCTTGAATGCAAGTATTCCCTTCTTTTTGCAATTGTTATTAAGACTATTATACACCTTGACAGCGTTGTAGGTGAAGCTACGATAGAAAATGTTGCTCCTATAACTAGGTATATTGAAGTCAGAGTTATGTCTGAGATTCCTGTAATTGAGATCCCCACGTGTTACCAGCCTTTTTAGTAGATAAGTAGGTAGCCTATTGATTTTGATTCGTTGTACTAAAATTAGTAAATTATATGTGAAAAGCTGGTCAACCCTCAATCATCTAAGCTCATTGATCTTCTTAGACACATGGCTAAACTTTCGCAGACCAGAAACGAACCTACAGCAACGATTTTGAAGTTTTTGTACTCGATATCTAGTCACGTAATCAAGACAAGGAAAGTAAACAGCAATTGAATAATTCATTAACGATAGCACCAGAGTCTCAGCCAGTTTTTTGCGAGTCTTGAAATTCAGAATATGGCGATTGTTGTATATCTTCAAACGCATGTATGTTAAGCGAGATAAATGCTTAACATGTTGCTTAAACCTCAAATCTGAATCCATGATGATCCCTAAATTCTTCGCATGGTCTACTATAGGAGTATGGGTGTCGTTAAGACTAGGAACAATTCGGCCATCTAACCGTTGTACTAACAGTTTTGGGCCAAATAGCATGGTAGAACATTTTGAAGCATTGATCTTCAGACAATGTCTTTTGCAGTACTCGTCAATGTTAACTAGATCTAAGTTCAATTTATATGATGCTGAGGAGTATAAGGATATGTGCAATTACTCAAATATTTGACGATATCCCCTACCACTTTGTTTATGAAGTATAAGTCCCATCAATTTGTCTTCTAGGCTATATCTCCGTCCCTGTGATTTACTACCAGCCAGTGTGATCTGGCTTTTGATAAAAGTAGCTACAGTGCTGTCCAAGTGCTGCAATGCCTCATTTAATACTTCTCTTGTACTTCTGGTACTTCTAATCAACCTCCTTGTACATCTTAGTCTTCTATTAGCTCTAGAGAGGTGACTGGCTATCTTATATAGCTTCTTAGCTTTTGGACTTAACTGGGTTTCTCTGGTTACATATAACTTATGCAATAATCCAGATTCTGTTCTTGAGGAACCTTGAAATAAAGAATGAAATTGATATTATATTACATATATGTTCAGAATCCATTGCAACAGTATTTTTACAAGACAATAAATTCAATAAAATGTTCCATTTCTAATTATAAATGCAAGTGCTTGATAGTCAAAGTTGACCAAACTTCGTTTAAAGTTTATATCATGCTGATGTGATTTGAAATTAAAATTATTATAATTAGTATTTATTGTTATGTATAGAAAACAATTTTGTTTTCAAACTTTCACAATTTTGAAGAACTTCTAGCAAGATTTGCTTTTTTTGGAAAACAATGTTTCCCTTGGTATAATAGGCTAAGAGATTCATGCAAAATTACTTTACTCACTTGCTTCTGAATAATGCTCCTCAATGGGTTCTACTGTAGTTACATCAAGATTTCCTGGTTGTGAAGTTGTAACTGAGCAAACTTCTCCCAACTGTTGATATGATGCTGAAGTTGATGGTTTTCCTGTAACCACACAATTTACACTATCAAAAAAAAAAAATTACATGATCAATTTTATAATGTTTCATACAGTTGCTGTGCTATCATCAATAAACTGTTTTGGAGCGCATTCTGGGAATGATTGAAACAACTACCAATGAGATGTTTGCAGTTAAGATAATGTTATATCTAATTTCCCTGTATAAATATTCACCTTATAACATTCCCAGTGTTAACTGGAGCTCAGTCTAACTTATTCCAAATATAAATAATTCCCATCAATGAGTTGAAATGAGCTTTAAATGGAAAATATTAACTAGATACTTCGTTTATTGAAGAAAGACACCAAACCCAACATGTTCACACATATTTTATGTGACTTGCTACATGCACTGTGTGGTCTGCCAATGCCAAACCAGGAGGGTGGAGCAGGAGACAACACAAAGGTGCATGTAGCCTCACCAGTCATGTAAAATATGCATGTATATGTTTGGATTTACTCTCCCTTCGATAAACAGACTATAGTTATGTAGTTTCAATCACTTGTACTAAACACTGTTGAAAGTCACAACTTATAACAGTTTACAAAAAGCTGAATATATGTAATTGAAGTTGAGATATGTAAAATTGGGTGATACTAAAAATTAAACAAAGCAACATACCAAGAATTTCATCAGTTGCGTTGGATATTTGTTGATCAGGAAGATTTAGTGATGGCACAGCATCCTTCCTAAGTCTGTTGTTACCATAATTTTCTTCCACTGTGAAGTGAATACAATCCACCCATTGCACACAAACATACATAAATTTCGTCGGGTTTGGAAATCTATGTCGTACTGAAACACTGTCCTGACAGCCTCTAACTGCGCATTTGCGGTACTGAGACATGGTTTCTGAAAAACAACATTCAGTTATAAAAATATGTTCAAGTCAAATGACTCAAGGAAATAGAAATGTTGCTAGACATGACAACATAAACAAAATCAAATTTAACTTTTGCAGTTGTAATAATGTAGTAATACTGTAATGATACAATATTAAAATTGATGATTTTAGCAAACATAAGCAGGGCCGTTGAGAAATAAGCTCGGGCTCCTATGCCCAAAAATTCTCGAGCCCCCATGCCGAAATATTCTCGGGCCCTTTTCTTGACATGAGCGAACCTAAGGACGTCTATCCATCAGTTCAGTAAGCGAGCCTCGTGCTCCCCTCAGCGCCGAGCCACGAGCTCCTCTCTTGTCGACGGCCCTGAAGTTTTGTACCCAACACCTTAGCCTATAAAAATAGATTATATCACTATACTTACATGCTGCAATAAACAAGCGCTGTAATCACTCAAATTTAACCACACATAAACAAAAAATAAAAGTATTTAACGGTCCAAACCACCAAACACAAGGAAGAAAGGACGCAGTGACAGGTGACAGCTGTCAAATAACAGCTTCCATTTCCGACAAACGACAACAGCGATACCAGCGGCATCCAACGGATTGATCACCAACTAAAAACACTGTTCCAATTCATCCCATAAGAGTGAATACCCCCTGGCTAAAGTATAGTTGTGATAGTTTTCACAAGACAGCAGCACCAACTTTGGTCGTATCTAGCGTCCTATATCAATGAAATAGGTTATTAAAAGACTATTTTTTTAATCTAGATGGCACAACCAATATATATATATATATAAATTTTAAAACATATTTTGTGTTAAAATGCTTGGTTATGTTAGCAATTTGCTCGTGTCGTTTTGACTTTTTTTGATTTGATTTTTAACAATCATGAAATGATGTATTCATCCGGAAATAAAGAAGTATAATCATAATATTCGTTTTCAGACCTCTGTCGCCCTTAGTCGTGAAACAGAGGAACTGTATTAATTTTATATAATTTATTCTATTATAATTCTAAAACAGGATGGGTATCCCAGGCTTAACAACTTTCATCGAAAATCGAGCAGATTTGTACATGGATGACTGCAAACTTCACGACACAAACCTTGTTATAGATGGAAACTCTTTAGCATGTCAAATATACCAGCAGTGTGGCTCAAACATGTGTTTTGGTGGAGATTATGATAAGTATGGAAACATCCTTATGATGTTCTTTGAGGCCCTCTTTAAATGTAAAATCACACCTTATATAGTGTTTGATGGTGGTTATGAAACAAGAAAGATGAAGACTATTATTGTGCGTATGAAGAACAGAATACAGGCTGCAGAAAAGATGAGCAAAATGTATAATCACCATGCTAGTGTTTTCCCACTGTTTATTCGTGAAACACTAAGAGATATTGGACTCAAATGGGAAGTTAACATGGTACAGTGTGATTTTGAAGGTGATACAGATATAGCTAATATTGCACGAAGATTGGGATGCCCTGTACTTAGTTATGATTCTGATTTTTATATTTTTGATGGATTATATATACCGTTCTCAAGACTTGATATGACTGTAAGAAGAAATGTTGATTTGACCACAAAAATGCAATATAACTTCCTGAACTGCAAAATATATAATGTAGATAAGTTCTTATGCTCATATGGAAGAGTGGATAAAAGCAACTTGCCTCTACTAGCAGTGCTCTTAGGCAATGACTATGTAAAAAGAAGCACATTTTCAATGTTTTATCAGAACTTGAAAACCCAAAGTTGTCATGGAAGGCACAAGAGTGAATCACAAAATCGTATAAAGTCTGTATTAGTTTGGCTTGAAAATGAAACTAGAGAAAGTGCTATCATCAAGGTGCTTGGCAGATATAAGAAAGAGAAGAGGCAGAGAATATTAGATAATATAAATAATGCCATCAAAGGATATAATTGTTTTGATAGCATATATTTGAAGTATTTAGGTATGCATAGATTTTATTATTAATTATTTGTCTTGATATAAATTAGGATTGGTTATCCAGATTTACTGTGATTTTGCTGCTAATCAAAAGTTAACTCTCACAATACATTTTTCAATGTCAGATTTGCCCTGAAATGGTACCAGAGGACCATCTACAGGTTAGCTACAGAGCAGTGTTACCAGGTATAGTCAATCAGTTTTCGGTAGATTTGTGAAAAATTTTCTAGTAAATTTTGGAGGACATTAAGCCAAAAAGCAAAAACTTGCCTATGAGTGATAACTGAATTCTCTAAGCTCTGCTCAGTTCAAAAATTGAAGAGCTGTAGCATCCTGTGCTGAAACCGTTGTAATTAAAAAATTGAAGAGCACAGGGTTGCACCAAATCCCTGTAATCGAAACTTCCACGGTGGTAGGGGGGATTAAAGAAAAAATTATAGTTTCGTAAAAGTCACATCCTAATCTTTCATATTAAAATAGGAAATGAAATTTTCGTGATATGAGTTGAAGTATAGTCTTACCATGCTCTATTTTTATGTTTTATTGAATTATATCAGGAATATACTATTTAAGAATCGGTAGTTCTACTGAAAGATCGGTGGACCTGGTAATACTGCTACGTTTAAACTGAATTTTTTTGCTTGACAGTGACATGGATCAGGGTTGTCAGGATTTCAGTCACGTTGGTAGCCAAGTTTTGATGAAAAAAATCCCAAGAAATCACCAATCCATGAAGTGAAAATTAACTACTAGTCTAATCTTAAAACGCCAGGTTAGAGAATGGAATGGATTTGCCATTGAGGGGGGGGGTTGCAGTAGTCTGCCTGAAGTGTCCCCATTTGTTTGATTAACGCAAATCTTACTCGGCGAATCCATGACAAGCGTCGAAAATAAAATTCTGGTGTCCACCAATTAAATCACAATCATTTTCAGTGCGCTGTTCAAGTTCTTCCAGAGTATTTACTGCTCCATCATGATGCAACAACTCTTTCAAATAGCCCCACAGAAAAAATCGCTAGGCATTACATCGGGGGAGCGAGCAGGCCAAGAAATGGGTCCATTGTGCCTTATCCATCTATTCAGAAACTCATTATTTCGATGTTCACGAATTACGTGTCTAAAATGTGGTGGAGCCCCATCATGTAGGAACCACATATTCTGTCTCACATTTAGAGGAATATCTTCTAATAATTGTGGCAGATTGGGTCGAAGAAGGTGGAAAAAAGTAGGGTCCAATAAGCATGCTAATTACCACGTCAGCCCAAACATTTAATGAAAGTCTATGTTGAAAATGAGTTGTTTTTAGAGCATGCCGATTTTCTAATGGCCAAACATGATTGATGTGGAAATTGCGCACTCCATTTCGTGTTAATGTGGCCTCGACTGCGCACAAAATTAATTTCGTAAAATCTTCATTTCTGCCTAACTGTTCTAAAAGCCACTGCCAAAATGCCAAAACTCTTCCAGGATGATCTTCAGGTTGTAACGCTTGTACCCGTTGATAAGGATAGTGCTGTTCTTGTCATATTGTCTTCCACACTTTTCTATGAGAAACTTCAACTTGAGCTGCTCTAGTACTCATTGTTGGGTCGTCTTCGACCATTTCTACAATGTCTTCCCCAATTTGTAACATTTCAGGTTGAGCAGGTCTTCCTGAATGACCTCCTCGTTGTTACTGAAAATTGAAGAGCAGGGAGACATTCATTTTCTGCGTATTTACCTTTCCCTTGTAATCTTTTGAGCGGTCTCTCTCTCGGTTATCATACAAAAACGGTAATATGTAATCGTACATCTAGCAACACCGAGTCAAAAGACTGTTGGGATGGGATGTCCTTGATATCCTTGGAACACGACAACTTGACATGACATTTGATGATAAACGCCATTGTGGTTAGAACATAGAAATTCCGCTGGTGCTTGTATCATGTTTCATTAATCTATACACATATCAGCAAAAATGGATTACAAATTAATTGGCGTCAGAAATGTCAAATCGCGAGATATCGCCAATGTGCTGGATATTGGACTCCACTAAAGTATATATACATTTGAGTCGCCATTTAAAACTGTTCGCCACTGGCGAAAAATCGCCACGCCTTGCAACCCTGACGTGGATACCACAGTTGTCCGTATAAATCAAGACACAAACGTCGACAGTCGCAAACTGCGCAGAACACAAGAGCTCAGCTTAGAAGCAACACTGTCAGATTTACAGTTCCATGTTATTTAACCAGACCTTGAAAGACAATTTTATGGACGACCAATAATTAACTTACAAGTTGTAGTTACGCATTGTAAAAGTTTATTAGCAATTGAGAAACCGAGTTTTAAATGATGATTAAATCGTTTTACAGGAATTTCCCCACCAGATGTCAAATCCAAGGAAGAATGCATTGACTTCGATAAATTGGGGGACATTGAAGAACCCTCAGAACCTGAAGAAGATAATGAAAAGCATTCTGAAAGTGATTGTGATCAAGAAATAATTTTCCCCGAAGACCAAGAGGATTCAACATTACCTACTGTATTCAAAGAAAATTTTAGAAAATGTCTATATCCTCCATGTTTTATGGATATATTTTTCAGACATAAATATTATTGTATAGCGCAAGTTGAAGAAGTATCTGCAGAAAATGCATATATCGTTAGTTTTGATATAATCGCAGCAATTTTCAAAATTTTAACTGGCCTATGTGAAGGTTTATCTTGTGTAGGTAGGGTGGGCAGTAAAGTAGGTAAAATGGATGTCCCTACATACCATGATCCTTTACCAACTTTGGAAGAAATCGAAACTATGGATTCTGAAGAAAGACTGAAGGTTTTTTTCAAAATATTGAAATTAGATTATTCTTTCAAAACTCATCTATCTTCATTTCCATACTCATGGCACCTTTATATCCTTGCCATCAAATATGCCATAGATAGGTCTAAACTGAGCTGGCCTCTGATATATGCTCTAATTGTTTCAAAAATTATTCTTAGCTGTATAGACTACAGAACTGGGTTTATAAGATCTGTAGCAACTTTCATGAAAAAGCATGCTGCAAAATTGAGCATGCCTTTAGAAAATAGAGATATGGCTATTGATCCTAAAGATGTTTCAGATTGTTTAAATCAATTATCAACTATGGACGCAATACATTGTATGAACAGTTTGTTACAATATTTCCAAAAAGACCAGAAAGTTGCATCAAGCAGCAAATTCTTTGATAGAAGATCAGTCCACTCAATATCCGAGTTTCAGAGTATTCTTTTACACCTAAAATATCTGAATAATCTTTTGAAACAGCCATTTCACGATTTTAGCGTTTCTAGTTGTTTAAATTGTACTTTTGTTTACAATTTTACAGCGAATTTATCAAAACGCACAAATATTGAAACTTATCTTGATGGTCTGTTGTGCAAAGCACCCACTGTTCTAAATACACTTCATGTGATCATTAATTCAATTAAGGAATTTTCTTGTGTTACTGTTGAAAATACTAATCCACCACCAAAAAAACGTAAAAAGAAGAAGAAATCAACATCTACTGTAATTCCTGATGAACATTCTAATAATGATTCAGAAGGAGAACCCTGGGTAGACTCGAACAACAAGTTTTCTTTATTAAAATCATGAAGTTGGCACTTCCCTCCAAATAATCTGTAATCCAAACTGGATGAAAAGTTTGACGACTGCATAATTCTTTAATTTGCTTAATATAATGTCCGTCACTATTTGCTGATTCATCTAAAACAAACGAGTTCTACTAGTCTCAAAATTAAGTATAATATGTCTTTTGTATTTGCAATTTCATCCGTTTTTTTCATTCGTATTAGGTACAAAAATAATACAATTTATAAGATCATAATTAATTTCCTATCTGAATATAAGAATATATTTTATGTTTCGAAGTTGTCATATAGTGTTTGACACTCATAAGCTTGAAGTGATTCTATTTTTGTATGATAATATTCGTAATTTTTATGATAATCTATAAATGGGTTGATTTTTGTTACTAGTTTTATTTTATCTGTACGTATTTAAACAGATTAGTTATAAAATTGTATTTTATTTTAAGAGCCCTTTTTTTGTATCATGTTTTTGTTTTGCAAATAAACTTGGTAAAACACTTTTTTGTTATTGAATCTCTTCAAAAATAAAATATATACTGCGAAGTGTTCGTGAAATAAACTTCATATGTGGAATGCGGTTTTATTCCAGTAATTTGCATATTGGATGCCATTATAAAATTCTATTGGCCCATCTCTAATCTTGTGTACAATAGTGCTCAAGTGGCAACACTGCAATAAGCACCGTATGTCTGTCACGTCAATTGTTATCCAGAAGTAGGCGGGTGGGTGGTCCGGTGGTATGATTCATTCTGCGATATATGTATCTGTATATATTTTTTGGGTAACACTATTTGAGGAGCAGACTTGCAAATTGCATTTTGTCCATTTTTACCAATTTTCAGAAGGAGCAAACAACTAGCACAGAAAAACTAACCACAAGAGAAAATACTTCCGGGATAATATAAGGTTGTCAGGTGCATGGACTTCCATCACAAGTTTTGGTACAAGAAAGTCGAAAAACAACTTGAAAAAATAAAAAAAAATTTTTTGGACGGAATGCACCTTGATTGCCTCTGGTGGACAAAATGCAATTTGAACGTCATTGTCAAGCTAACAAAAATAAAAAATTGTGTTTTATTTAAAAAAAGGTTTATATTCAAGCATTATAATGAAATAAAACAAAATTTGTAAGTATTATAATAATATTATCTATTTTAGAGGATTTGGAACAAGCCTAAAAGTACGCTTTGAGTGGAGATCAAGAAAAATTGCAAAATGCATTTGTTACAAAAAGCACTGCCTTTTTAAAATATAGTTATAAAACCGCTGACCTTCTTTTTGTAATAGAACCCTCAATTTTTTATCAATTTAAGCATTAATGGTACTCAAAAAATGGTATTTCAAAAAAACTCGGTGTTCCACAATCACTCAAACAGCCTAGAACATCGCCACTTGTAAAGATTAGTACAAATCGCTAAATGTATTTCTAATGGGGACCAATACTCTTTATAAAATGTATCAAAATCATTTCTACAAATATAATTTTTTTATTGACACTCCTACTTGGTTTTCGTCAATTTGTAAAGTAATTATTTTAACCCTCTATTGCATATGGTTCCCAAACGGTAACGTTATATTATTAGCTTGTCTAGTGTCGTCATCTAACGTTTAGATCCCCATTTAATGCGTAAGATCCAAACTTGAGGCATTGGGCACTGTTCCGGATAGTTTTTCAACCGATAGATGTTGCTAGGAGCACCTCATGGTTTGCATTTGATTTGACAGCGTCGCAAGCGGCGGTCCCAGATTTTTATCTCACTTTTATTACAAGAAATAGCTCTTTTGCTGCATTTAGGTGAGTGTTTTATTTTTTTATTACTAATTATTATTGTTTGAATAATACTGTACAAAATATAATTAATTTTGATGATATTTGTTGCCACGAGGTAACATAACCCTAATGTTCCCGCTCGGGAACATTATGCATCCAAGGTCAATAACGGAAATTGTTTGTCTTCCATTCTTTACTAAATAGCATTTTCTATTATAGATCCAAACGACAATGGATTTCCCTGAAATAAAACCAGGTGCATTTTATGGGCGTAAAAGGGTTGAAGTTCAGTTTATTCGCGGTATTCCATCTGACAGCGAGGATTCGGAACTATCAGATGACGAGGATCAAGTTGAGATAAAAAATGCTTCTCGGGCAACATTAGTTTGTATTCATTTTATTTACAGTGGAAATACCAATATCAACGAATGATTTGGGCACGGAAGACTTGCAAGATGCAGATTCAGACCCAGATGATATTCCCCTAGCACAACTATTTCGCCTTCCACCTAATACCAGGTTTTTCTTCTCAAAAACCGACGATAATATATCTTGGAAGCAGTCAACAACTATGAGAGATCCTCAAGAAAATACATTTCTTGGTCAAAGTGATCTTCCAGAAGACATCTTACAGATACATGGTGCCTACAGTTTCTTCAAATTTTTCTTCACGGATGAATTTCTTGCACAAGTTGTAGAACAAACGTGCTTGTATAGTGCACAGAAAAGGCCTAACAAACCAATAACCACAGATATAAAAGAAATAGAGCAGTTCTTAGGAATAATCATATGGATGTCTCTAGTAAGACAACATTCCACTAGGAGACACTGGGCTGCTGGTACTAGGATACCTCAAATTGCAGATGTGATGCCTATCAATAGGTTTGAAGAGCTTAAACGCTTCATTCATTTTTCGGATAATAATTCTGCTACTAAAAATACAGATAAAATCGAGCCAGTCCTAAATCAGATAAGAACTGCTTGCCCAAAATTCCGTTCGAGGAGCACTTATCTTGCGATGAACAAATAATTCCCTTTAAGGGAAGAATTTCACTGAGAACTTACAATCCAAAAAAACCGCACAAGTGGGGCTACAAAATGTATATATTGTCTGGAGTGTCTGGATTCACCTCAAACTTTGAGCTTTGTAGTAATAAAGCAGATCTGACTTTAGTGCCAGGAGAACCAAATCTTGGAGCTGCTAGTAACATTATTGTACGTTTGTGTAGACCCATTCCTCGAGACATGAACCACAAAGTATACTATGATAACTATTTTTCCAGCTTATACTGGCTTATTTACAAAAGCTAGGAATACAAAGTGTTGCAACAGTTAGGTCAAATCGCCTAAAAGGACTAGATATTATGTCAGAAAAGGACATGAAAAAAAAGAGGCCGCGGTGCCTATATTGAAAAAACTGCCACTGTTGACGGTGTGTCTATCCATGCTGTACAGTGGTATGACAATAGAATAGTCTCCCTGATTTCCACATTTTCTGGAACGGAGCCAATTACTAAGGTACGACGATTTTTCAAATCGGAAAATTGCAAGAAGGAGATAGAACTCCCAGACGTAGTAGCAGTGTATAACATGCATATGGGTGGCGTCGACTTGCAAGATTCTCTTCTGGGATTGTATCCCATAAAACTAAAAAGCAAAAAATGGTACTTACGAATTTTTTTTCACATGATTGATACTGTTATTGTCAATGCCTGGCTACTATCCAGACGAATTAACAGGCAACTAAATAGAAATGAAAATGTATCTCTTTTAGAGTTCAAAACAACCTTAGCTCAAGATTTATGTTGGGTTGGAAAAACCGCACAAAGAAAAAGGGGTCGACCAAGTGTCAATTCTCCGCGTAACTCTCCCGTACCTATTCCCCTAAAAAGAAGATGTCTGGAAAACAGACCTACCGATGCAATGAAATTTGATAATTAGGACACAGTGAATCGGGAACGATGCAAAAAGCCTCTATGCAAAGGAAAATCCAGAGTGAAATGTGACAAATCTTCTGTACACTTATGCTTCAATTCTACCAACAATTGTTTTAAGGAATTCCATTGTAATTGAAAGGTTTTGTCTCTTTTGGAAATATATGTATGTATCCTTAAACGCATAATGTTCCCAATTGGGAACACAAATTTTTTTTTATGTTCTGAATAAATTTTTTGAAAATAATGTTTGTGCCTTATTTCTATGACCATTCACATACATAAAACATGAAATAAAAAAATCTTAACAAAAAAAAACAAATTCATGCAATAGAGGGTTAAATACAATAAAAAAATCTTGTTGCCTTAAAAAATATGTTGAGAGACAAACTTTTTACTGTATTAAGAGTTATAAATGATTTATGGATTGGAGGTGCCATTACAAAACATATGTCAGTGATTTTTATGAAATAATTTAAGAGAAGTAGTTTAATCACAAAAAATAGCGCACTGTTACACAACAGCAATAGGAATAATATAGTAAATTGATTTGTGCAAATATCTTTTATTAAAATGACAAAGATTAGGTGGCACAAGTAAACAATAATCATAAAAATACTTTATCCTTTCTGAATTTCAATCAGGTTTGAAGGTTTGAGATGCTTGACCAAATTTCTTGTGAAATTTTTGAAGTTGCATTAATGCCGTCTCTGCCTGCATACTGCACACTGAATAGCTATTTGTAATTCTATATCTGGTGGTGGCTCAACAGCTGAAGATGAAGGAGTTGAAAATCAAAAAGTTTTTAATTAATGTATGAAGTTATGAAGCAATACCAAGTAGAAACTGATTTCATATGCAATTTTTCATTCTAAAACAAGGTCATCAGTAGTGAAAAATTGAATTAAAAATTTGTATCTTTTCCATTTGAAGCAGAACTTTGTACTTATGATCAAGTGTTAGATGTAGAGTGCCAGGTAGTAAAATCAAATTAAATGTGGTTTAATTAAGTGGGCAATAGAGAATATAAACTGATTTTTCATTAATTAATATTAATCCCATTTAAATTTGCCAGGAGTTATGTACTTACACTAAATGGAATTTGAAGTTCAGTATCTCCAAATAATGCTGCTTGTTCCCAATTTTACCATATCTACTTCAGATAAGTTATCAATATTAGCACCCTCCACCAGTACCTGTAGCACCCTGCCTATATTGTGCAGCTCTAGATTGTATCCTATGTTTAAGGTCTATCCAATACTGTAAAAAAGTATTATTTGTATTATTAATGAATAAAACCATATTATGGAACAAAATGCCTTATTATAACCCACAGTACTAATCCAAGAAAATTACTCATGGAATCTGTGTAAACTACGTTTGCAAATAATAAAAGATGGTAGCAACTATCTGGAAAAATGCAAATACATTGAATTAAACAAACTATTTTCTACCAGTTTTTGCTTTTTCAATGAATGGACATACATGTTTTTTGAAAATAATCTGAGTACAAAAGAGTTTCATATAAAGTCAAGTCCAATAAAAATTGAATTACCGCAAAGATGGTTAAACGTCATCGTTTCTCAAGTTACTTAAAAATAGTTTTTGATAAAATATTGTGAAAACGTAGTCTTTGGGAAGAATTGTGCTATTACTCTGTTAAAGATAATTTTCTATTTACCAACATTGCATTTTTTCTTCTAGAAAGAAATCTACAACTTTTTTGAATCTATCTAATGAAAAGAGGGATACAACAGAATAATGAACATAGAAAAGGTTGTAATCTTATGATGAAAAATATGATGCAGCACAATTATAAAAATTATGAATTAGCGATGAATAACAAAATGTAACATAAACTCGCCCTTCTCCAGTATTGTCCATTTTTTGTAGCTCCAGATCCATGAGTATTCAGACATATCGCTACTTAATTTGTCCCACTTTCCATTAACTGTCTCCTTTGATCTCCCTCCAAGCCCAACACTGTTCTTAGCTAAATTAGAATGAATTTCTGCAAAGACAAGTAGCTCATCGATTTGCAATGTTGAGTCTAAATTCCATTTTGAAAAATTAACACAAACACCTCCTAGTCAGACAAAATCTCAAACACAAATAAACACTATGTTCAAGTTTTCTGTTGCATTTGCAGCCTTTAATGAACAATTACAACTTTTTTGAATTAATCTAATGAAAAAAGGGATACAACAGAATAATGAACATAGCAAAGGTTGTAACCGTATGATGAAAAATATGAATTAGCGAGGAATAACAAAATGTAACATAAACTCACCTTTCTCCAACATTGTCCATTTTTTGTAGGTCCAGATCCATGAGTATTCAGACATATCGCTAATTTGTCCCACTTTCTATTAATTGTCTCCTTTGATCTCCCTCCAAGCCCAACACTGTCTTTTGCTAAATTGGAATGAATTTCTGCAAAGCTCATCGATTTGCAATGTTGAGTCTAAATTCCATTTTGAAAAATTACCACAAACACCTCCTAGTCAGACAAAATCTCAAACACAAATAAACACTATGTTCACGATTTCTGTTGCATTTGCAGCCTTTAATGAACAAACAGTCACCTAGAACTATATAGGTAAGTGCCAGCAAGGCTGATTGATTGAGAAACATCTGGCACTTGTCAATAAGCTGTTTTCACCCTCGCGTTATTTTGCATCGCTCTTTCTGTCTTGAGATAAGTCTTCAAGGCTAATCTATGTGAAACTGTGTCATCTATTTGTCGACAAATGACTGTGTGTATATATTAAGTGTGTATCAAGGGTCCACTCTTGACTTATGTAAACATCCATACATCTGCGGCTCACACAGAGATTCATTTTTAAGAACAGACCATCGTATTATATACTTACGTGTTCAATTTCCAACAAAGCTAGGTCCCATAGTTAATTTTAAATTTACAATCACGATCCACAATGTATTTATCATTTTTCGATATATAAACATAACGATTGTTTATCATCGTATGTCACTTTAATTCCACCGGTTGCTACTTGATTGCTAGTGGCGCTGTTTCGGTCGCAAAAATTGCATTCAGTGACAGTTGGGCAACTGGTTGTCCATTGCGTTAAGCATCTATTACACAGGGCGAGATTAGTAGTTACTCGTCAGTGAATTTACTCGCTGCTATAAAAGTCGTCAAATGTAATCGCAGCTGCTAGTAAACTCGCGGCTCGCTTTTTCCCAGCGAGTAAAGTTGAACACCGGCCTACTTTTCTCGCTACTCGCTCGCAATTTTTCTCTCTGACGAGTGAAAACGCTATGTGTAATAAGCTAAAGCCCGACTAGTTAGATAAAATGGCCGATATAGTGCGTGTAGGAATTGTTTTTGTCAGCCTTTTAATTCGGAAAAAACTTAAAGAACGGTTAAACCAGAAAAAAAGGAAAGCGAGACGGATGTGGGTCAGGAATTGGATTTCAAAACGGGACACACATGGGGCTTCTAATATTTTATTAAGACAATTAAAGGATGAAGATCCTGTGGCATATAGGAATGTTTTGAGAATGAGCAATGAACAGTTTAATGTACTATTACAAATGGTTGACGAAACAATCCGCAAAAAAGACACAAAAATGAGGATGGCGATTCCAACTGCTACAAAACTAGAAATAACCCTACGCTTTTTGGCAACTGGTGATTCGTTCAAATCACTAGAATATTTATTTCGAGTGCCTGAATGTACAATTTCATTGTTTGTACCCGAAGTACTTGCAGCAATTTGTCAGGTCCTAAAGCTATATATAAAGGTAGGTTTAATTTAAGTATCAATTTATTTTTAATACAGTACTTATACTTATAAAACAAAATATTTTTATAATTATATGAAAAATAGAATCTATTTCATTGAGAAACTTCTTCTACTATTTCAAACTCTGCCCCCTAAAATGTATTTAATAGTGCTTGATGAATAACATCGTTACCATAAACGCTATCTTTGTCATTTTGCACATTTGCTTCATATGTTGCTGATGAGGCAGGGCTGGGATCACTGGGGGAGGATAACGGTGAAAAAGTTTGCACTTGAAGGGGCTCTCTGTAGTAATTATTTAGTTGATTATCATTTCCCAAACACATTAGCTTTACACGTGTAATAGAATTCTGAATTTCTTGCTGCAATAAAATAGCCTCACGTTGGGGTAATTGACGCAGCTCTGCAGCTACATACTTTCCAAATTCGTCGTACGGTTTTCCTTCTGATACATTTTCAGCTATTTTATTCAATTTTTCATCGTCACGCTGTTCAATTTGAGAATTTGAGATTTCCTCAGATATATTTTGTATGCTGGGTAGAGTCTGAAAAAAATTAGAACAAATTTGTAAAGATTTTTTTAACTTTTTGCTTGATTTAAGAATTGAACAAATTTTTTAAATCATATTTTTTTCTTGCAGATGCCTTCAACAAGCAATGAATGGAAACAAATTCAATACAATTTTTTCCTTCGTTGGAATTTCCCAAGATGTTGTGGAGCAATTGATGGCAAGCATGTTCTGATTAAAAAACCTCCCAAGTCTGGGTCAATGTACTTTAATTACAAAAAAACATATAGTATCGTGTTATTCGCAATGGTGGACGCAGATTATTGCTTTACTAACATTGATATTGACAATACTTTGAACATAGCAATGCAAAATAACACACTTAACATGCCTGAAAATTCGGTCATTGTTGGGGACGATGCCTTTCCATTGAGAACCAACTTAATGAAACCCTACAGTAAGTCACATCTTAATAATACTGAAAGGATATTCAACTACCGACTCTCTCGCGCAAGAAGAGTATCGGAAAATGCATTTGGTATTCTTGTGTGGCGCTTCAGAATATTTTCAAGACCAATTCAATTAAAAGAAACTACAATTGACAATGTTATTTTGGCAGCATGTAGTCTCCACAAAAGTAGCCCAAATACTTATTTTCCTGAAAATGCCGTGGATAGAGAGGATCTTAACACGGGCAATATTACTTTTGGGCAATGGAGAAACCACGTGAATAATCTGCCAACGGTTAGTCATTTGGGAAGCAACAACTACAAAAATTCTGCAGAGGAAGTAAGACGCAAATACGCTAAGTATTTTATGGAAGACAATCCTTTACCGTGGCAATGGAAAAAAGTGGGATTGGAATTAGCTTGAACAATTTTTATATTTTTAAGTGATTTATTATTTTTCATATTAATTCTGCTCAAAGTGTTAAAGAAAATTTAACTTTATTTGTTATGTATAATTTGCTTAAGTATGAATAAAAAATATATAGCTCTAAAATCTCCTTACCAAGTTTGAATTACTATGCCTTGTTGACAAAACTTCAGCCAAAAAATAGGCAGCTCCAAACCATGTTAGCTTTGGGGTATAAATATCCTCTGTTCCACAGCCACTTTTTTGCTTCGTTCTATCTTGGCCAGTTCTTGACGAAACACATCTTTTAAATTCTTTATTTTGTTTTTTAGTTGTTTTTCGTCCATTCCTTTTAAAAGCCCTTTATCCTCTAATTGCTCCCACATTTTCTTGAATAAAACATCTTTGAGTTTGATATTAACGTAATCTTTGTGTTTTATATTCCATAAAACGGGAAATTGTTCATAGACTTTTAAGAACTGTATAATTTGATTACTGTTCCATTTAACAGCCATTTTAGATTCTATTATCGCACAAAAGATACAAACTAAACACTTTTCAAAGGTTCAATACGATGCGAGTAAAGCGATTTTACTAGCGCTGTGTAATTTTGCGCTCGCTGAGCGTGTTCTACTCGCTCACTCGCTACTCGCCGGCGATCGGCTACTAATCTCGCCCTGTGTAATAGATGCTTTAGCGAATACGAATTTTTCGGTCGTTCGACAATCGGTCGCAAGTCGGTGCTCACCGATCAGAGTTGCAAATTTTTACGTCTGCCGAAAAAATCCTTATAATATTTAAATCAAATCCAAGCGAATAACCAAAATTTCTGTGTTATGTGCCGCGGTTATAATATGGTTCAAGATGACACACGGGTTGACGTCAGTTACACGAATCGCTTGAACGCGTTGGTTTTAACCGCGGTTTTGTTGCAAGTTGTTTATTTTAGAAAAGCGCGTATATAATCTCTGATTATTTTTATTATCACTTAATAATAGGTGCTTTTTCATCTAAAACTGTGTATGGAAAGTTGAAATAAGAAACCTTTCATAATATTCATCCAGATTTTTTTTTAATGATGGAACCATGGCTTTGTAGCTATGATAACTTTCAATTCTCTGATTTTTTCCGCATGTCAATGAAAACATTTATTGATTCAGCAGAAATGATGAAAAAAGAAATTAGCAAAACCGTATACAGGTGGATATCATCTAGTGAGTTTATATGGCCATATTTTAATATTCTTGTGGTATATGGCTACACAGGATACTTTGTTAAGCATAGGAACAACATTTAAAGTGTCCCCAACAACCGTAATGAGTATAACTAATAAGGTGCTCCACTTTATGGTAAAACTGAGGTCAGCCTGTATCATTTTTCTCAATACAGTACAATAACAATATCCAATACCCGGCAAAATTCTAACTTGTCACATTTCAAATAATAACCAGAAATATAAAACTACTCTTGAGTTGGGTAAATACCACAATTTTGCGGTGATAACTATGACATATAACAGCTGATTCGAGACGTCACGGATCTTATAACCAAACTGATAACTACACTCGCTTGAACGGATTGGTAATTACCAACCCAAAATGGTAAATACCATTTCCATTTGGTTATCCGCTTGAATTTGATTTTAGTATTGATGGCGCCACCAACTTGTAGCGCTGGCATGATGATTCAATGTAACTGGGGGGGGGTTCCCCTCCTACTACGAGCTTATTTGACCTTCATGTCTTCAGCTGATAATTTTAACCTGGAAAAGTGGAAATTATCTCTGGTGGAAATGTTTCTGGAAATATATAAATATAAGGCGTAACGGTCCGAAATATTAACTCAGAATAGTAGTAAAAGTAAGCACGGTGTATGAGTGTATAAATATTTTATTGAGCAAGAAACGAAGATGGGTATTCGAGGTCTAACAAAATTCATTGAAAGCAGAGCCGATTTGTATATGGAAAAGTGCAAACTACATGACACAAGTTTGGTAATAGACGGAATAGCAGTTGCATTCGAAATATTCAATGTAGGCTACCCAGTTTTGTTAGAAAATGCCTGCTTTGGAGGTGACTTCGATCTCTACAATTATGCTGTGAATGCCTTTTTTCATGCTCTATCAGAGTGTAACATCACTGCTTATGTGATAATGGACGGTGGAGTAGAAGCTAAGAAGATGGTCACTATTGTCAGGCGTTTAAAAGATAAATTGGAAAATATTCTAAATATGTCTATGATTCCTTTATCTGCTTTTGTAGTGAAAACATTCATAGATATTGCAGCTAGGCTGAATGTGAAAATGGTGCAGTGTGACTTTGAGGCAGATGAAGAAATAGCTAGTATAGCGTATAGACTAGGTTGTCCTGTACTTGGTCAAGATTCTGATTTTTATATTTTTGGTGGCTTGTATATCTCATTCTCAAGACTCATTATGACTGTGAAGCAAAAACTTAATAGAAAGAACGTGACATACAATTATTTGGACTGTGAGGTTTACAGTGCAGAGAAGTTTGTGCAGAGCCATCATTTAAAGGATAAATCAGTTTTACCATTGCTGGCGATACTTTTAGGCAATGATTTCGTGAAAAAAGGTGTTGTCTCCTTGGTAGGTCAGGACGAAAGTAACAATATTGAAAAGTATAACAGTGAATCACATATACTGGATGTTTTGGCATGGCTTGAAAATCAAACAAGAGATAGCGCGATCATAGCAATACTCAAAAGATATCCTAAGGGGAAAAAGAGGGATATCTGTAAAATTATCATTGATGCTATTAATGGATATAATTACTTTGATAGCATTTATTTGAAGTATCTCAATATATCCATTCCAGAAGTCAAGACTGAGGTAGAGCCTCTTGAACTTGAAAAATTTGTTGATGTCGATGATATAGAAACAGAAGGTAACGAATCTGATTGTGCAAGTGACTGTGACCCAGAAATGATTTTCACTGAGGACAACACTATTTCCAATCAGTTTTCTGACATTTTCTTAGACAATTTTAGAAGATGCATATATCCGTCTTGTTTCATGGATATACTTTTGAGACATAAGCAATATTTGAACGTTCCTATGGAAGATGTAACATTGGATAATGTACATGTTGTAGGTTTTGAAGTCCTTAGTGCAATTTTCAAAATATTGACAGGCCTCAGCTCTGGTCTTTTGTGTATTGGTAGAGTTGGTAGTCATCTTGGCAAACTGCCTGTACCTGCTTATAATGAACCTCTACCAACATTGCAAGATATTAAAAATATGAACAATACAGAAAGACAAAAAATTTTCTTCTCAGTACTCAAAGTAGATGGTACGTTCAAATATTATTTGAATTTGTTTCCAAATACGTGGCATATATACATTCTTGCTATCAAGTATGCAGTAGATAGATCTAAGTTAAATTTGCCTATGATATACTGTTTGATCTTGTCAAAAATAATTATTAGTTGTATCGATGAAAAAATTGGGTTTTGTAGATCTATAACAAAATTGATGTCAAAATATTCTACAGAACTTAATACATCTGCAGAAATAAAGGACGAACCAAAATCTACAAGATATGTTTCAGAATATCTTGAGGATATCACAGCTATAGATTCTATGCATTTTATGAGTATTATATTGAGATATTTCCGAAAAAAATCAGAACTTGCTACAAGCCCAGAATGTCTCGATCGGCGCTTAGTGCACTATATTTCAGAATTTCAAAGTATTTTGCTGTATTTGAAGTATCTGAATAACGTTCTTCAAAGACCATATCCGAATTTTGTAATATCAGATTGTTTGAATTGCACTTTTGTTTATAATTTTACTGAAGTTTTAAAATGCCAAGAAGATATCGAAAATTATTTAACAACTACATTCAGCAAATCACCATCTGTTTTGAGAGCAGTTAATTTGGCTATGAATACTGTGAAAGAATTTTATTCTACTGATCTTGGCACCCAAAATAATGTAAATAAAAATGAAAGTGATGACGAGTCTCTGATTGATCTCACTGATCAAATGTCATTAGTGCCTGAAGTTGATAGCTGGGAGGAGTTAGAAGATAAATTGTGAGAATCTTTCATTTCCTCTATACAGGTGAGGCAATTTTAAACTGGAAAGCTTATTATACATAGATACATTTTAATGTTCCAAATATTTGGGGCACAGAACAAGGTCCCACCTAAATATTACTTTCTTGTTGATACACTCTATACATATTGTTTTAAAATTGCCTAACCTGTTAAAATGCTCAAAACGACTGTTGTTCTTTAATGAACTTTTCTGCTTGTTAAATTAACTAAAAAAAAATTTCGTTGTTCTTAAAATATTATATATATATATAATATGTTTTGATTGCTTAAATATTGATGTATGAGCTTATTGTATTTTTAAAGTAGGAGAAGTCAATAAATTTCTTACTTAATGTCGGATGCCTTTTATTTAATATTATTTTTCATCCTTCATCATCAAATATAATTTTATTTTTTCCTACACTGGGTTAAGATACAAGTAAAGTATAACTCATGAGTCGATCTACTCCACGCAGTTTCGTTTCTTGTAGCCTTTCAAAGTGCGTGTGACGACGTAGGGCAGGTGATTTGCGGACATCCTGCCATTCATCTGCTTCGCACTTCAAGATGGCGAAAAGAAGATTGACAATGAGCAAGCATCCATTGCAATTCATGAGTCGATATACTCGACGCCATTTGGCTTTTTGCAGCCTTGCGAAGTGCGTGTGGCGATGTAGTGCAGGTTATCTGCGGACATACCGTGTGCCACTTTTCATGATGGCGAAAAGACAACTTATTTACAATGAGCAAGCATCCCTTGCAATTCATGAGTCGATCTACTTGACCCTATTTGGTTTTTTGCAGCCTTGAAAAGTGCGTGTGGCGACCATCAGCGGACACCGTGACGCTTTTACCTGCACCGCACTTCACGATGGCGAAAAAAAGATTGACAATGAGCAGGCATCGACGCCATTTGGCTTTTTGCACCCTTACGAAGTGCGTGTGGCGATGTAGTGCAGGTCATCTGTGGACATATCGTTTGCCACTTTTCACGATGACGAAAAGACAATTGGCAATGAACAAGCATCCTCGTGCAATTCATGAGTCGATCTACTCGACGCCATTTTTGGATTTTTGCAGCCTTGCAAAGTGCGTGTGGCGATGTAGTGCAGGTCAACTGCGGACAACGTGCCACTTACCTGCTCCGCACTTCACGATGGCGAAAAGAAGAGTGGTATACGAGAGCGACAATGATCGAGCATCAACGTACGCGCACACTATGCCAATGAACTCTTTGCAGATTCTACATTGCGTTCGATGACCTTGAATGATGCACAATCGGCGCGAATCCAGAGGAAATCTAGGAAACACAGAAAAAGGAAATTAGCTAATAAATAGGGACAGACAAAATTGCAAATGTCAAGAAAACAGCTAGGTGGAGACAGTAGAGAATTCTTGCCACGTAGATTGCTTGATATTTCCACACCAAACAACTTTTCGATGCTCTCAAAGTGAGTGTTGCCGAGCCTAATCATATTTTGGTATTTCTACCGAAATGGGGTTTCATTTAACGAAATACCGAACATTTCCTCATTTCAATTCAGATATTTCTAGATATTTTGCTGAAATGAGCTGGAACCAAAAATGAAGCTAAGCAAATGAATTCTATGTAGTTTTATGCCCCTATGAAGACTAGAGATAGGAGGTTAAACTCATGGAGTGGGGATGAAGCCAAAAATGACGATGATGCAATGAGTTGGTACACTGCGCAGGAAATCAATTTCAGGTGCTGCGCATGTGGCATTTCTCTGTTGCTGTCATCATGACTGTTAACAACTCCAATTTAGAACATTTGGACGAGTTGCAAGTAGAAATATTGGATAATATTAATAAACCTAGAAGTAATAAACCTACAAAGTATGGCAAAACGTGAGTGAAAAGCACATAAAGATTGCGGCAGATTATGTTGACATTTTTCAATGTGCAGATCGTCTGATCCATGTTCTATGTCCACAAGATTTCCGAGAGCCACACCATCCTTGGCAACAGGATTGGCTTCATAGGTATTTGAATACATGTATCCCTTACGCCGTTTAAGATTGTATCTCTGTCTTCGTATCAGTGGCGGATGGTGGCAAAATAAATCAGGTGTTATGCAAATCCGAACTTACCTATTTTTCATATGTCACTTCGATCCTGCGCTGCTTCTTGGCAGCAAATTTGTCGATCACCTTTCCGTTGAAATTTTCCATGGTCGAAATAAATTCGTTTTCAATGGACAGCATCGACAACGCTGTAAGGCGATCCTGGGTCTTAGTATTACGGAGAGAAGTCTTGATTCTTTTCAATGTTGAGAACTTTCGCTCAGCCTCTGATGTTCTATCAAAAATTTCAAAAGAGACAGAGTTCCATGTAAATCTCGGCAATCATTCCGTGCATAAATAACAGACAACTGCGTCTTTAAACGGCTTTTTTCTAATTCGGGATAAGCCAAGCAGGTAGTTTTCAACTTGTCATCAGGAAACTTACCACAGTATTCTTCAAAGTGTTCTGGAAAAAAAGGGATGCGGCTACCAAATGATCTTTGAATTGAAATCTGTCATTTGCAGAATTCACTATATTGTCGCATACTTCTAATGCGGCAACTCGGTGATCGTGGCTGCTATGATTACGTCGCCTCTTTTTGTTGCCTTGGGGTTCAGTGCAAATATTTTTGGCTTCATTTATTATGTCATCAATTTTATTTCTCACATCGACAATACATTTTTCAAAATAATCGATAGCCGTTATAACTTGCGCTGGCTCGGTTTTTCTCTTCTGCAACTGGTTGAACAAGATGTCGACGTGAGGCATGACATGATGAAAAAACGTCAACCAAAACACGAAAACAGAATCGTTTAACATACGGCGAATACCGGAAGTTGCCATGCAAACGGTTTCATTAGTGAAATTTTCTTCTATTTCTTCCATGCATTCAATGAGTGATTCGCTGTTCTCAAACACTACATTTATTGTTCGAATATTAAAATTCCAACGAGTTGTTGCTCCTTGTGGAATTTTTTCCCCATAATTCTGTTCAGTACCTCTACGCGTTGAGGAGAATTATTAAAAAATCCCGGAATATCTTTCAAATCCCCAAAGAACACCCGAACTTGAGCATTTTCGGAAGCAGCTTGGGACATAATCAGGTTTAACTGATGCGCATAGCAATGCACATAGTGAGCAAATGGATATCTTTGTTTAATTTTTGCCTGTACTCCGCTCATTACCGCGGCTCCATCATAGCTTTGTGAAATCAGTTTGTTAGGGAAATTTCCTATTAATGGATCTACGACGCTCAAAATATGTCTTGTGAGAGTATCAGCGTCACATTTTTCGGGATTCATATAATTCCAAAAACGTTCTACTGGTTCGCCGTTAAATACGTATCTGAAAATTGTTACCAGTTGGGTTTTCCCCGAAATGTCCGTTGTTTCATCAGCTGTTATCGCCAAATACGAGGCTCTGTTAATCTGTTTTATTATTTCTTCATGGCAAACTTCAATAATAAAATCCAGTAGATCGTTTTGTATTTCTTTCGAAGTTCCTTTAAATATTGAAGCATTTTTTATGTGTTCGCTTAAGGTTGTATCAAGCTCAGCAGAAAAATTAATCAGTCCACGAAATATTACCGGGTTTTGGGAGCTCGCGGTTTCGTCCTGGCCCCGTAGCGCCAATTCAAATGCTTTTATACAATCGATTATTTTTGATAGAATGTACCTGTTTTTTGTAACGGTATCTTTAGGCTGTTGTATATTTCTCCAATATGCCGAATCTAACTGAGCTCTGATGTTAACAGTCCCCAATAAAGCCAATTCCACCGAATTATGAAGATGTGCTTTAGAGTTTTCATGCTTCTTAATTTTTTCACTCAGGTGCACTAAATCTTTAACACCTACCTCCGTCCAAGCTTTGTCACCCCCGAAAAGTATGCAAGGAAAGCAGAAAAAGGCATTCTTCCTGTTGGACCCACAAATCCAGTCATTTCTGGTGTAAAACTCCCTGCTGAAATGCCGCGTATAGCCCTGTAACCCCTGTGTTTCTATAAATATGTCCGGCAGCGGTCGACCTGACACCTTCAACTCAATTTTTTCTTCAAATGTGTATTTCCAGAATCGTTTCACGCTGATAAATCTGTAATCCGCACCCATTGTCTTGCACTACCCTTCTACGCAGCCACAGTCAGTCAATGAGTCACTAGTCACTCAACGTAACGTAAGACTCAAAATACCTGAATAAAAAATTTTTCGCATTCAAATTTGAAGCCACGTCACGCGACAAGATCACTATGCCAATACCGAGGACCAAGCACCGACCGACCAATCAGATATCGTACTTCGCATTAGATCTGTACGGATCTGCATAAATTGCAGCACATGCTTATGCTTAAATCGCGCATTTGATTTTGTAGAGAGAGACAAAAGCAAGCGCGTGCGGCTTGCGTCGAAGTAGTGCACAGACCCTTTTCAAGTGGCCCATGATTAATGTTACGCTGCGGTCGCGAGGAAAATGACAAGTACACAATTGGTCGATTATAATGCTGCAAAACAGACTCGACGCCGTGTCTTGCGGGGGCAGGCCGGCATTATTTCTATTTGTGTGATATCATGGAAAATAAATAATGATCAAATTACTACTGCTTTTTTCTGTTAAGACAAAAGCTTTGGCAGTTCTGCAGAACTTAAGGGCCAGCCGGGGCATATACGAAGTTCGTATATGCCCCATACCAATCATACATATTATATGCGTACACTTACATCGTCGGGCACACGAGGGACTTAGATTTGGGTTGCAGACAATTATGTACGAACATCCTTCACTCCGCTACTCTCGCAGTGGACGATTCTGGTAATAGATGGCGCTTTGCGTTGTCTCATTTCGATAGATCCCATACCTTAGATATAGGGTAGTTGCTACACTTCCGTTCGTTGTCCCTGAGACCAAGCTTTTCAGGTTCACGTCACAACACAATAAATAAGGAGAAGGATTTAGGTTCTATTGTATTTTATGTAATACCTATAT